CTTTCATTTTAAAATAAAGTTTTTGATGACTCATGATGTCATCTCCCAATCCTTGCAGCCTGACCTTAGCCAGCTGGTGCTACAATCATAACCTAGTAAAACTCTACTAGGTTTATATAATAGGCAAGGAGAATACTTTTGTGTCATGTACAAAGAAAAGTGAGCGCTTTGATCACTCTACCAAAATTAATGCACAAATTAACTTGAGTTGTCAATAAAACATGTTTGTTTTTATTATTCTGGTGCCTGCAGTTTGTACCAGTTTAAGGTGTATTTTCTCGCTTCAAAATATATATATATTTTTTCCAACTTTTCACAGCAAATATAGCAAAGCCACTCTGTCACTGAACACAAGAGCAACACCACTATCAGATGCATCTGTAGACACTTTATTTGACGGGCCCCTAAAGTGCATCATGCTCATCTGAACTTAATGCCGGCAAGCATTAAATTTGGTTCGGTGCGATTGTTCACATTATTCACTTGAGTTGTCTACTGTTATCTTTTCTTTTATAAACTCTGTAACAATTTGTTAACATTTCCAAAAACTGCTCTTACCGGTACTCCATAGTTTAATATTTTACTTGTTAGAGAGTAAAATAAGTTTGGCAATTGGAAAATAAGTCCATTTGTTTTTACAGTAATTCCCTTCCCCCTAAAACACAAAGAGGTAAGTCAGTTTCAATATGTTGGCTGACAACCACAAAACTAGCAATTAGGCTATACTTAACAGAAACAACAATTTAAGAGCCAAGCTAGGGGTGCCCAACTTCATTAAAATGAAATTCCGTTGCTTGTTCTGCTCTACCTGCACACCCTTACTCCCTGCCAGCAACATTCTATGGCAAAACAATAGAAATATTGAGCGGTTTAGATTATGGGCTAATGTATTTACACCATTACAATGTAGAGGCAGAGAGGAGGATTTAGAATACAGGTGTAAAGGAATTTTAAGTGATGCAAAGATTTTTATTTACTAGTTTATAGATTGAGACAAGTAAAAGATGCTGAATCTTAAATAAGAACTCACATGCATGCAAACACATCAGTAAACCTCCTGTTATTTATCAGGTTGGAGATACAAATTTCATTGTGAACAAAAAAGCAAGTTTGCCATAACATTTGTATTTTTTGCATTTTTTGTTCACTCTCCAACTAAAAGGACATATTTTAGCCCCAGGAGGTGCAAATCAGATTTTTTTTACTTTTGTTTTTGTTCACGGAAAACTATAAAAGTGCAGCACTAGGTTATTATACTTCAAGAATCCTACAGAAGCCTATGTCTGCTCTAAATGTTCAAGTTCTCAAATCTCACTGCTATTTTTACCAATACAATTCTAACACTTTATACCCACAATAATATATGAGTTTCTTCTGACAGGTTCTTAGATGTGGACTCATGTTTGATCAAATGATTCATAGCCTACACTGCTGCCAATGGCATCTAAAGGAAATATTACCAAGATATACTGGAGCTGATGGTAGAAGAGAGAAAACAGAAGAACATTTTTATTCAGTATTTGGAACAAAGCAACTCCAAACTGAACCACTTTATCATTTTTCAGACCTCCTGACAGGAAGAAAATTCATGACTTAATCTGGTAATAATTGAGCCAAAGGTTCTAGATAGTTGACCCCGGCCCAAACTAAATCTGCCCTCAATCTTAGTTAAAATGCTTGACACATACTTTGAATTTTCTCACTGCAGGATACTGATATATTAACCTTGTCTGGCATTTATTTATGCCTCTTTCTATTGTTGAGTTTTTCAAAATCTGTACAATGCTTTAATGTATTCTGCTCTCTCTTCTTTCAGGTTTTTCCTCCCAAGCAGTTTTTTATTAAAAACACAAGGATAATCTTTCATTAGAATACCAGAGCAAAAAGTGAGCAGGGTCATAAGTAAAAGAGAGGCATTCTGAAAACATTTCTCATAATAAAGCCCCTCTAAATTAAAGCCACTTGCTGTTTTGCTCCCAAAAATAAGTCAGGCATGGAATGTAACTTCTCTGCCCGAATTAAAGTGCTGACAAATGTTTCTCTGCTGAATCGTGTAAAAGTAGAAAGTAAAAAAAAATCTTAATGATATCAAAGCAATTACTATACAGATATGCTTATAAAAGGTAGTAGAATCTTTTTGAAGAATTAAAGATTTCATCTCTCTTCCTGACAGCTGCAAACGCCACCTTACCGGTTTCATTAAATAAACTACCAGTACAGACAGGAAGCAAATCAGCAGTATCTCAGGTTTGGATTCGCAGTGGAAAAATAAACTCTGTGGAAAGCAGATGCCAGAATGAGTTATGCATTTTATTTCTGCTGAAAACACACGAAGGACAGAGTGGCCAGGGTTCTCTGTCAGTATACAAGTATGTGTGGCAGACATGTTAAAAGACTAGTTTACATGTTTTGAAAATTACGTTTCCCTTTTTTTTCTGTCAATGAAACGATTCAGTTCAGAGCGGGAAACTATGAGCAAGAGCCAGAAGGTTTTTTTAATTAAAGAGGAAAATATAAACTTGAAGGTTTTTCTTTTTCCTGTCCCTTTTTAAGGGATAACTTTGTGACTGAAGCCTTTCTTTTTAAGCAATTAGGAAAGTGTGGTGTGCATCTGTATGCAATTTTTTTTTTAGATCTTAGTCTACATACAGCTGTCTGTATGTCGAGATATATATATATATATATATATATATATATATATATATATATATATATATATATATATATATATATATATTATATGTATGTGTATGTGTGTGTGTCTGTGTGTGTGTGGTCGCACTTATATACTGTATATATCCCCCAATCACCTTTTCCTCCTTTTGGCACCTTCGTTTTACTGTTGAGCCGATGTGACAAGTGAATTTCTCCACCGTGGGATCAATAAAGTCAATCAATCAATCAATCAATCAATCAATCAATCAATCAATCAATCAATCAATCAATCAATCAAACAAACGGCATCATGAAGGCCAAGGAACACAGCACAGCACATAGAACAGGGAAAACATGGTGAAATTTAAAGCACAGGCCAAGATCCTGAATCTAACCCTCATTGAACACCGTTCATGATCTGTAAATTTAAAAGAGATTACAAGGAACTTGGGCAAGGAGTGCACTAAGTTTAACTGTGGGGTTTATGTGGGACATTCACAGCTCAGGTGAATGAATCTGTTGACCGTATTACTAGTCGGCACTGTTATAATTTGGCCTTTAGATTGTAATGGCTCAGAAAAGCCATAGTTGTGAGAAAGATCACTTAAAAGTTTGCCACAAGTCATGTAAAAAAAGATATAATGGACATGTGTAAGGAAGGGGCTCCAATCTAAAACTGTACTTTTTTAGGCTAAAATTAAAGTGCTTAGAGTAGGAAAACTAATACTGTACATAACCCTGAACATTGACCATCCATTCACAAGAGTGCTGCATCATGCTGTTCCATTCCATCTTTTTAACTGAGAACATGACAGCTGTTTAGAAGGAAGGTGAGCGAAGCTGCTGGACAATTCTGGAAAATAACCTTTTACTTCAGACTGAAACTTAGTTTTATCTTCAAGCAAATCAATCACTTCCATCAGAGCTACAGCAGGAGGAAGGACATGTATGCATTTATGTATTAGAATTCCTGTCAAATTCCAAACCTAAATCTTAAGGAGAGACTTTTGGAAGACTAAAAACATGTGTTCCCAGAAGTTCTCCATTACATTTTACTGAGCTTGATCTATTTTGCAAAAGAGGACAGGCAAAATGTTGGTCTCTAGCTGTGCAAAGATTTAGTGCTGTAAATTAGTTTTTTCAAAATCATATTAAATTTCCTTTGCAATTTCAAAGTGTGAAATGCTAGATATTGTTCAATGATATATCAATTTAATATACTATATTTAGTTTTATGGTTGAAATAAGTTTAAAGGGTCTGTGTATGTCTACAAGGTATAGTATTTCTCCGCAGTATTTATGCTCAGCAGAATGAATTAACACATAATAAAGTCTCTGAAAAGTTTGTAAGACTGTATTCATTAACAGATACTTAAAAAACTTTTTGTGAAAGGATCTTTTAACCTCGAAGCTGATTGCGCACAGCTGTTTAGTAACCAAAAATGAAACCGCTGCACAAAAAGTACATATGCTTTCAATAAATAAACGTGGGCATTAATTCTGTTTTAGTGACACGCAGATGTACATAACAACAGAAATGTTTTGCTTAGGATTGAGAAAATCCAAACTATTTCCTTATTAAAGAGCAGCATCAACATACACAGATGTCAAGCAAGCAAGACGTGTGTAAACTGAACGTGATGACATGTAGTCTGTGAACTCCTGCTGTATTCACACCTCTTGACATATGGGGCCTAATGCTTAAGCAACACACAAAGGAGCACTAAAACACCTTGTAAACCACACAAACTGAAATACAATGACTTGACATTTGCATTGGACTTCAGGGCCAACTAATACATTATCCTGAACTAAACGCACCATGTTTCAAAAAGAGGTAATGGAGAAGGAGTTGTATAAGTTCACGATCTTGGATATCCACCAGTCAGGACACAAAAAATATGTTGGAAGACTTCTGATTAATCGTCAGCTAAACACAGTCAGATTTCAACAGACCCTTTTATATATATATATATATATATATATATATATATATATATATATATATATATATATATATATATATATATATATGGCGAGGTTGCTGACTGACTGCTCTGATTTTGTGAAAACAGTGCAAAGTCAGCAGCTGCTCAGGAACACCTGGGGTTTGCATTTTTACTGTACACTGCAGTGTTATACAAGAAAAAAAATAACAACAAAGAAAAAAAAAAAAGAGGTTATTTCTGGGAAATTTTGGTTTCTGTTTGACCTCAGGGATTAATGTGGTTGGTTTCTACTCCAAGCAAAATACTACAACCATAAAATGGAATAATATGTCCAATGTATCAGTGGAATAAACCTAAAAGGAAAAGCTGGAAATGAATGAGGCACCCAATGCTTACCGAACCGTTTATAGCCGAAGGACTGCACCTCCTCTTCATCTGTGAATTCGTCTAGGGGGATAGGAAGAAATTGAAAAAACATGAAAAATATTTTCAGGCCAAAAAGAAAAATATAGTTCAAACCTTTAAATCTGTAGGTCATTTACAAATGATTTTACATAAGAGGCTAAATAAATCATATTCATGTTTATGCAAACATTTTTCAGTAAGCAGTCTAAATGCAAGCCATGTGTTGACAGAGATAAGTGCTCTTTTAGTGCAGTTTTATCCGAACTGCACGGAGGAATGCTGAAAGAAAAGATGCATATTTCCAAAGTTCTCTGAAATGAGCTACTAATCACAGTTACCACATAGCAGACCCCATAATGAGTTAATGAGTGAAGCATAATTCAAGCTGTTGTTAAACATCCGAAAGAAGAGTTTTGGCTTTCCCGACATCTCCACTAAACTTTCCTGTTTATGTTTATGGGGGACGTGGTTGTGTTTGTGTCTCATTTTAAAAACATGAGCATCCTTTGCTGTTCATTAGACCTTCAGAGAAATCAAGCTTCCTATTTATTTTCCTCCACATCATTCATTTAAAAATGTGAATCTGAGAGAAAGTTGCTTGAGTTTTGTTTGCGTAGGCTACAGCTGGACTATTTAAGAGGAGATTGCACAACGTTAACAATACAACAGATGGGGATTTTATTCAGTACTACTGTTAAAACAATTGACATCTCCTTACACTGTAAAAGCAGAACATTTAGAAATATTTTAAATTAACAAAGCTATAGATAATTCAAATTATTTTGAAAAACCTAATACACCTTATAACATTAATACATTTAATTGACCAAGCACATAGAAGTTGGATGTTTCAACCACTTCAGTGGCTACAGGTGTAGTAAGTCTCAGCACCTATGGATGCAGAATGCTTCTACAAACATTTATGAAAGAAGGCGTTCTAAGGAGCACAGTAACTTCCTGTGTTCTGTCAGATTAGCATGCTATTGTATAACAACATGCCATCTGTGAAAAAAGTCCATTCTTGTAATTTGCTACCAAATTATATGAATTGCTAGCTAATTTGCTAGATTTTAACAAAGACAAACTGAACAGCAGCAAGTCAATAAAGAACTCTTAGTATGCCATTGTTACAGTGGCCGATGAGTGCAATGTACAATGCGACACTACATCTACTATGGCAATAGCTTGTGCAATGTACAATGTAACACTGTATAATGTGCACTTTACCATTTGATACTTTGTGCAATAACTGTTTCTCTATATTTGACACCCAGTGCAATAACTATCCATCTATATAAACACCCATGTAAACACCCAGTGCAATAAGCCAGTATAATGATCCTACTATAACTACAAATTAATTTAAAAAAAACTGTATGTGGACTCACTGTATATACAGTATATCCAATGCACTTTTCTTCTTCTTTGACTATTTGAGCTGATGTAACAAGTTAATTTCCCCACTGTGAGATCAATAAAGTCAATAATTTAATCAATCAAATAGATTATTTCACAGTAAATTTGAAGTCACGCAAACACAAAAAATGAAGTGATTTAAAGGAGAAAATCTTCAATCACAGAAAACAGAGCAACAAGTGGTAACACCTTACAAACACAAAACCTGGTGTGAATACATGAATAATTCCAACACGCATAGCATATGGAGAGGAAAAACGCTGCAAGTAATAAAAAGAACGGCAAGTTAAGAAAAGGCGCATAAGTGCTCCAGAACACTGGGGGCACTTCGACTCCTACGGGATCAGACATAGACATTGCTACAAAATGTTCTTAAAGACCAAAAAAATAAAACAGGATGCCGTCCATAAGAACATTTGGAGGGAAGAAAGAGAAGGTATGTTTCCTCTGAACCTGTTCTTAACACCCAATTCTTCTGAGCATCCCGTATACAACTTAACTTAGGATCAGGAGTTCTAAACTAATTTTAATCTTTTTTTGACTTGCAGTTGTTTTTTTGCTACTTGAAAAAAAAACACCTTTGCATGTGTTTTGAGAGTAAGCAGCATTTATATTTTCTGTAATTGAAGTATTTCTCCTTTGCAGCATTTTTTCTATACATATTTGTCTGTTAGTGTTTCCTTATATAATTTTTGACTTTACTAGTCTCTGTTTTGTGTTTTGCATTTGTTATAAAATCATGGGTTTGGAGGGGTACACCCTGGACAGGACGCCAGTCTATCGCAGGGCAAACAGGACAAAAAACTACTTACGCACACACAAGGAGAATTTACAGTAGAGAAGCCAATTAACCCGACAGTCATGTTTTTGGACTGTGGGAGGAAGCCGGAGTACCTGGAGAGAACCTAGGCATGCTCGGGGGGTGGGGGGGAGGGTAGCACTGCTGCCTTGCAGCAAGAAGGTTCTGGGTTCGATTCCCGGACCAGGGTCTTTCTGCATGGAGTTTGCATGCTCTCCCTGAGCATGTGTGGGTTCTCTCCGGGTACTCCGGCTTCCTCCCACAGTCCAAAAACATGACTGTTAGGTTAATTGGCTTCTCTACAGTCCCCTTAGGTGTGTGTGAATGGCTGTTTGTTGGTGGAGCAGATGGACCAGGGTTGGTGGAGAATGGCACTTCATTTACAATTACAGTTCGAGCTGAGCTTAAAAACCGCACCTTAAGTTCAACATCTCACCTGACCTAACAAATTCACTTCTGTCAGACCAAAAAAGAAATAAAAACACAGTTCAATCCAAGGAAGGGTTATGTGCAAGTAACTGTTTTCCATCTTCTCCCACTTAACCCATCCAGTTATGGTGGGGCCAATGCCTATCTCCGGCAGTCTATGGGCGATAGGCGGGGTACACCCTGGACAGGTCGCAGTCTGTTGCAGGGCAACACAAAGACTCACAGACTTATATGAAGACATATAATCAAGCACTCTCAAAATCACAGAATTGTTTCCCTTCAGACCAAAATTTCCAGTTATATCGAAAAGAATGTAAATTGGCCGTCATAGGAATAACTGAAAGTTTGGTCTGGACATATACTCTGTCTTTTCTTTCCTCATGTAGAGCCCTTCAAATTGTCTTGCCATTGAAATGTGCTAAATAAATTAACTTACAATGCCTTGCCTTGTGTTTTGAAGGCTCTTTTTTTCAAGCAGCTTCTGTTGATGCTGGAAAAAAGGCCTGCCCAAAGCTTAAAACTTCTATCAGCATGTTTTACTTTTGGATGGTGTTTTTAGGATTACACTTAGTGCTACTATGTCAGATAATGCTATTTTAATAGCTTACATTTCAGTTCAATCAGACAGACTCATATAGCTCATTTGCTAACTAGAATCATAGCACTTCTTGGCTTTTATCCAAAAAACTACATTCTTCTTAAAACTATTACATAATGGAAAAATCTGGGGCATTCACAACAATTAGTTGCCCTGTACACAGACGCCTTCATTAAAGTCCTGGATCTCTTTGCCTCCTCCAGAGTTGGTCATCTCTGATTAATGCCCCCAGGGTGCTTCATTAAATGGTCAAAGCTTTTTTTTTTTTCTTAGACCCTAACCCTACCTAAAACTTCTCCAAATTTAGTCCTGACTTCTCGGTTTTTTCTTATTTTCATTACTCTGTGCAATCACTTGTTTTCTAACAATCCTCTCAAATCTTCACACAAACAAATGCAGATGAAATTACATACAGAATAATTATGTATACTAATTTGTGTGAATTCTAAAGAATTTTACACAATTCTAATTCCAATTCCAATTGCAATTGGATTCCAATTCCAATTCTAGTTGCTTGATTTATTTTGGGCAGATAGGCACCAGCCCCATGGATGGATGGATGGATGGATGGATGGATGGATGGATGGATGGATGGATGGATGGATGGATGGATGGATGGATGGATGGATTCGACAATTGTTTTTGGTATTTACATTAAAAGAATGAGAAATGTATTGTTGTTGTTTTCAAAAAAAGCACATTGTGTTAGTATATTGTTAAATACATGAAATCAGAGGTGTCAAGTAACGAAACACAATACTTCGTACTGTACTTAAGTTCACTTTTTAGGTATCTGTAATTTACTCCATTACTTATTTTTCTTCCTACTTATGACTTCTACTCATTACATTTTCACACAAGTATCTGTACTTTCTATTCCTTACATTTTTAAAACAAACGTTATCGTTACTCTTGGCTTCAGTTTAATGTTTCTAAATATTTATTTCACTTCATGTGCGCCATCCAATGCAGATCATTGGCTCCATCCACATCTAGTGAAAACTAGTGTGATTGGATGAGTCATATAACGCAAACACTCATTGGTTAGCTGAAGGAAATCATCAGAAGCAAGCAGGTGTTCTTCAAACTGCAAACGTGAATTGTCTATGCCATGCTACAATGTCGGATTCAGAAAAAGATGATGAAATATCTGAAGGGTCGGACACAGGCGAGAGCGTATCAGGAGATGAAGACGGAGACCAACAAGACCTCCCTCATTCTTGGCCCTATCTCAAAGAATTTTTCCAAATAGTCAAAAATTTTAGCTTTCAATTCATATAGTGGCATCTGGCTGTTTTTTTTTTTTTTTTTTTTTGAAGGTTACTTTATACTTAGTAGTTTTTGGAGCACATACTTTTTCACTTTTACTTGAGTAAAGAGGTCAAGTTGATACTTCAACTTTTACCAGAGTGTTTTTAAACTGTGGTATCTACAAATGTGTGTACTTTTGACATCACTTCATGAAATATTGTGCCTCAAATGTGATTAAAAATGAAAAAACAAAGAAACGACCACAAGGGGGCAGGACTGTTGGGATGGTTTATTTTGTCCCACAAGTTCACAACATAATGACTTATCCAGTGAGGCTGGGAATGACATGCCCAGGTCTTAATTTAGAAAAGATCCAACACATCAGAGAACCACATGAGCCTCAGATCTAGACAAGTTTATTATAAGTATCTGTTTACAAAAACAACAGTGTGATTCATACCCCTTTTGGGTTTTTTTTGTTGTTGTTTTTTTGCGTGTTTAAAAAAAGCACAAGGTCCACACTACATCTTTTTTATGTAACTCAGTGGAATCTGACACAGTTTTTAACATCAACAAGTTGGAAAATAGACGTGTATTAATTTCACAAATGAGTGTCTAAAATAGATGCTGCTCTTTTTTTTTTATCTGAGCTCATTTCTGATGTCCATGTGTGGACAGATGCAAGTCAACCCCAAACAGACCGCTCTGATTAAAAGCAGATGTTCCAGATGTTACAGCCCAAACATTCCTCTGTCCCTGATAGTGGAGAGGAGAGCAGAAGAAGGAGGGATAGTTTATCACTGTCATCACTGACACGTGGCGTTTCTAAGACTGTGGTTAAAAAAATAATTTGTATGATGAAATAAAGCCTACCTTTCATCGTGGTTTAGCCTACTAGAGTCTGTTTGGCTGCTGGCTGGAGTCACATGCGCTGCATCGCACTGGAATGTGAGTCCCAGATGAAGCTCCTTCAGTGCGCAGGTATCCAATTGTCCTCGTTTTAATATCGGATGCACAGAAAAGAAATAAAAAGTAATAAATAAAATGCATAGGTAAATCCGAGGTTTTAAAGTTATATTTTTCCCTTCTCTTTCAGCACAGGTATTACCGGTGTCAAAAACTATGGTAAACTCAATAACACATGTAAAAAAGGAAAAAACTTTGTTGGAAAGATGCAAATTATATCTCCCTCTTCTCACTTGGAGAGATGCTGAGGTGAGCTATTCTCTCCGTTCAGCCTGGATCTGAGGTGGGGCCCCCGCTGCAGCAACAGGAGAGGCTTCAAAACTTTGCTGGAGAGGAAGGGCTGCTCTCACTGCTTGGAGAAACCACGTGTTCCTCAAAACTTTGAGCACTGACTGCTGAGTACAATGAAGGAATGATAACATAGGTTCAGTTTGTGCAACTTGAATTTTATTTGTTAATTTTTAATATCTCTTCAAATTTTTAAAGCAAAAGTTTTAAACTCTGGATTTCTTTCCTGTTACTGTGGTTTAACAAAGCTGGATTGGAGTCCACCTGCATAACTGCTCTGCTTTGATCACTTTGGGAGTTATAGCAGGTTCACAGAGGCATAGCCAGAACATGTTGATTAGGGTGGCCAGGCAATAACCAATGTAGAGTGAGGGGTGGCACTGGAACCTCAGGGTCAATCTATTCTCTTTCATTAGGAAAATTAACGAGCAAAACATGTTCTAATTAAAGACTAACTATATTTTCCTACAGCCTTTGCTAACATAGACGCATATATTTCAACATCCGTGCTTTCTAGATGAAAAGTAAAGTGGATAAAATCCTTTCAGATTCGGGTTCTTGGGGTGAACATCTTTTCCAGTGCCATTACTTACCTACTTTTATTGATAATCATTCTGGATAAAATTGATATTTACAAGTACTGATATCTACATAAATTGATTATTTAAGTTTTTTTTATTAGAATAGTTATTTATCTATGATTTCACTGAAGACTCCTAGATGACTTGCAGAGACACATCATTTTCTCTTTACCCCAGGAAACACAAAATCTAGTTCTGAAAAAAGCATGAATTCTGTACTTATCATCTTTAATGTTAGTATTTTAATGTGCATAAATAACCAAAAGGTTTTTGTTGTCAAGTAATTGTTAATATGTGAAAATTTTCAATGTTTTGAATATTACTTATTATACTTGAGAGTATTACTGCTGCCACTGTCTGTATTAGAGGGGGGAAAAATGGTGGCCAATGATTGGCTAAGGGTGGCCATGGCCACCCCTGGCCCCCCATCTAGCTCCACCCCTGAGTAGGGTTGATGTGTTGGGCAACTGTTTTTACAGGCAGCAGACTTTTTTGTGTGAATATTTTCAGTTTTTATAATGAACTCTGAGCGATTATTAAATAATAAAGTGCAGAGAGCCCAGTCATTAGATAGAACATTTCTTTAATATATTGCTTACTGGACTCTTTTTTTTTTTGTTTGTTTGTTTGTTTGGTTTACTCACCTCCATGTGTTATTTTTAAAAACTCTATTTGGAACCTTCTTCAGATCCAATGTGAATTCTTACCATTTTTCCAAACAGGTCATAAAGTTTTGATCAAGCCCAGCTGGAAGCTTCTTTGTCCTGTGGGCCCCATAACTATCACTCAAACAACGTTGATGTGTCATTACAAGTATATTATTATGCTAGAGTATTGCCAAAACGTTCATTCATTTAACAAATGTTTTTTCATTAAGTCTCATTAATCTGAATATGTATTTTACGACGGAGTATTAGGGCCACACATGAAGAGAAAAAATATTTTTGCCATGACGAGATTAAACTCGACATGTCGACTTTAAAGTCGACGCGTCGACATTAAACTCAACATTTCGAGAATAAAGTTGAAATGTCATGTTGAGTTTAATCTCGACGTGTCGACTTTAAACTCGCCATTTCGAGAATAAAGTTGATATATCGTGGCGACTTTAATCTCGACATTCCAAAGTTTGGAGAAAAGAGCAACCGCGCTCCACAGCTGCAGTCTGCGTTTTAAGAGTGAAGGTAGTCTTTGACGTGCTGCAACTATATAATCATCACAGGAAGCGGTGGCCTACCAATAATAACGTAACATCTTTCCCTATGCTTACCCAGGCTCGCAGTTCTGAATTTGAGAACATGTCAGTCATTTCAACTTTATTCTCGAAATGGCGACTTTAAAGTCGACATGTCGAGTTTAATCTCGTCATGGCAAAAATCTTTTTTCTCTTCATGTGTGGCCCTAATACTCCGTCGTAGTATTTTTCTCCTTAGTGCTAATGAAAATACATCATTTAGTTTCTTAAATTATAAAATGACACCAGACCAATAAAAATACAGGTCAACACAAAAATATTGGCCTAACAGAACAATATGTTTAATATGTGCTTAGGGGTTGGTTTTAGAGGCACTTTGACAAGTTATATCTGAAAATAAGTCTAATCAGACTCAGAATGTACATTTCGATTTACTGAGATATACCTGCATATGGTGTTTGTAAATATCTCTTCTAAACTGAATACTGTACAACCAGGAGGGTTAGTGAAAACTTTGTGGATGCAGCGTAAGATCCACTGCTAAAAAGTAAAGAAAGTGAACCAGAAATGAAGAATAGATCCAAGAACACAAAAAGGAGCTATAAAACTATAAGCCATGGCAAAGTCATATAAAGTCAAAAAAGTTGTAACATGACCTCATGAGGGGCCTAGCTTTGAGCAAAGCCACATTTCACTTCACAGTTCGTATGGAGCTTCCCTTTAAATGTGATCACATTTTATCATATAGTTTATTCTGCTTAACTTAGGTTCTGTGAGCAAGATATTACATTTCCTAGCAGGCTTACCTCAGAAACCTTCCAATCATCAACCCTATGTTTATTGCAGAGCTGTTACAGTGCTTTACCAGTGAGCTATAACATAGCAATGTGATCATGGTCCAAAGTTAAATTAAGTTGCTTAAAACTCTTGATTTATATTTAATTCTCTGTAGGTAAATGCTTGCCTGCAGTCTTATACCATTTGGAACTCATTTTACTTTCAAGATTTTTTCGGTCAAGGTGGACTATGGCAGAACTTTGGGGAAACAATTCTCCCTGTGGTTTTATGTGAACCAGGTGCTGAAAGTGTCAGCACAGGTCATAGCGCTGTCTGCTTTTGATTATGATCCTGAAAAGACCTGATTTTCGGGGTCACAGATTAAAGAGGGCACAATTTCGAGGGGAAAAGATGAAAAGATGAGTGCATAGAGAAGCTTCAGACAGAGCAGAAAAATAGCTCACCATAGTATGTGTTATATTAGATTGAAATTTGATAAGGGTTAACACATTTTACCATCAGCTGCACTTCCATTCAAAAGTTCACTGATTCTCTATTCGCCACTGTTAGCTCCTGACTGTTCCTGGGCATCATCATCCCTCAATATCTCATGTAAGAGCTGAACATCACCCCCCCTCACTAAGAATGCACTGCAGAGGATGTACTTCGAGTGACACCTGAAAAATTCAGCGTGTCAAAGAGCAGCGAGGATTGCAGCTGAGCCCTCCCACACTGGACACACTATTTCAGACTCTCCCCTTTGGTCCATCGAGGTGAAAACCTCCAATCCTTAAAACCCGCTTCCTTACTGACACTTTTCTTTTTGGAAAAAATAAAAAAATTATAATAATAAATAAACACTACAATCTAACTTTATAGTGTTATTTGTTTTTGTATACCATGGTAGTATTCCTACACAGCTTGTATTTGTTTCTTCCAATTTATATTTTCATCATTTATTTAGATCAGTTGTACGGTATGTTTGCTTCTCTATGTGTTCCACATTATTACAAAACAAATTCATTAGCAATAAAACTTTTATCAAAGAGGTTGCAGTTTATATAGGGTGCCACATCCTAAACCTTTTTTAACATTTCTGTTGTATCACAATCACAACTTTAAATGTATGTTGCGCTTTTATCTTGTAGACCAATAAAAGCTGTCTAATCCTATAGAGGAAGGACGATTATACATGGGCTCTCTTTGACAATATAAAAATCTGAGAAGTGTGGTATGCATATTATTACAACCACCTTAAGTCGTTACTTAATGCTGCTTTACAGAAGCTACTGAGATATGTTTATATGCTTTGCACAACTAGAGACTAAAACTTAAGTTTCTACCCTGCAAAACAGCTCAGAGTCAGTCAGACAAGATGAAAACTATGTATGAACATCAATTTTCAAGTCTTGCTAAAGGTTATCGATTGTATTAAGTTCTATACTAGAATATTTAGTATACACATTTATTACTCCAAACCACTTCCTGTAACCATGGTTATATTTTTTTGGTCATAGTCTAGAGATTCTGCCATTTTTTATCTCTGTCGCTCCTCCAGGGTTACATTGGGCATCTTGGCTGTTTCTCTGGTTGCTGCTCTCCTTACTGTACCTACTCTGTCACTTTAAGAGAAAGTTTATTTGTAAGGAGGTTGGGTCACACATTTTTATACTTTTTTAGGTGATAATGGAAGCCAAATAAATAAAGGGGACTCATTATTATTTTTATTATTATTATTATTAAGGATGATTTTATACTTTGTACTGACCTGTCAAATAAGTTTCTCCCAAAATACACAAAACTGTTTTGTTCCAATGTATAAAAATGTATCAGCAATACAATTACTTGTGAAAAGGTTTGCAAAAGCAGTAGCTAAAAACAATGGTTTCTAACTGTTAAGGAGCTTTTTGCAGTTAGAATCCATTGGGCTTATCTCCACTGAAATGATTGTGTTGACATCACTTATTTTATACGCCCAGTTATGTTTCCTTTACGCATACACACCATTATATTAATCATTAAAAAAAACATTAACAAACACAATAAAGATGAGCTCACTGTGATGAAACTGATTTTGAATGTTTTAGTATTGTTAAGACCAAGACCCCAACAATTTCCTTTATAGACGATTTAAGAGCTGATACCACAGAAGCGCAGCACATGATTGGCAATCAACCATCTTCCAGGATTTTTTTTGGGCAACCAAACTGATTTCAAGCCACTAATTAATTCTATGAAGAACAACAACAAGCCTTATATTTGATATGACTGCTTACGCAAACCCTTCATGTCAGTATGCCAAGTACTGGATTAACAGGCTTCAACCTGAAGCAAAGTCAGTAATAGGATAAAGTTAACTTAGGATGAGCACAAATAGACCTGAGCAGGTCAAGATAACCCAAAGACTTCTGTTCACACAAAGCACTTTGTTTCTGTCAACAGAGTAAGACCTGTCTTCTGCAGGTGAGTTGTTTTGGTTCTGCTGCACTTTTTTTTAAAATGAAATATCTTCTTTTAATTTGATGTATATTCTATTTGAGCTTCCTGTTCCCTTAACAATGTTTCACTGCATATGAATCTTTCTTAGGATCTGACAGCATTGACTCCTTATTTGCTCATTTACAGGGAGATACTTGTATTCTCAGGCTGATCTTATATATTTGATTCCACCTTTATGTATCGGTGTTGCAACTTTGAACCAGTATTTCAACATGCTTTGAAGAGTCTATAAGCAAAGGTTAAATATGACCTGAGTAGGTTTTAATCTGAGAGGTTTTATAACCAAATTTAACCCCTGAGATGAATGGCTAGATCTCTGTTTGGTCTAAATCCTTCCTGATTAACTTATTGTATAACTCCTAATAAATTATAAATGGGTTGAAGCGATCAGTCATTAGAAAGTAAACACAATTCAGAATTTTCTTAGTTTTTGTTGTTTTGTTTTCTGTATAAAATTGTGACTAGATGTAGTTTAGCCTCTTGGAACAGCAGATAAGTGAAACGATTTTTCCCTGTTGAAATGAACACAACAATCGGATTTATATAGGGTGGTGTTGTTCACAGAAAGAGCAAAAGGCAGTTGTACAAAATAGAATCACACAAGAAGGACAGATAGAAGTCATATGGTTTAGCAGCACTGTAAACAACAGACCTTCAGTTTGTTTAAAGTGTAAGAAACAGATATAAAATGTACCTTTTCAGATGCTAATAAATATATTACGGATTATATAGGACCAAAACTTCAATATGTGAATGCCAAAAATGCCTGTTTAAAAAAAAACAGTGTTTTTTTGTTATTGTTTTTTTTTTTTTTTTTTTTTATATAAACAAAACATGATCTTTTGTTATCAAACTAACTGAATCTAAAGAAAAAATGATTTCCAGGTGACTTAATTGCTTTCATCCATAAAATAGACGTATAGCACCACCTAATGGTATATCTGACAATTGCCTCTCGATCAGATTGAAAAGCAGTTAAAATTTCTTCTCACAATCACGAAGTTAATTATGTAAAATTGAATAATATTTTTGTGCCATTTTGTGTGACAAAAAAATAATGAATGAGAAAATTACCAAGGTAACTGTCCAGGAGATGTATGTGGTGCATCCAAATCATTCTGCCATAATCAGAATCAGATCAGAATCAGAAATACTTTAATAATCCCAGAGGGAAATTACTGTTGTTACACGCTCCAGTCACTGTTTTATATAATATATACACACATCCAACTACACAATATAATAAAGATAAAAAAATAAGAATAAAAAGAGATAAAATATATACACATATAGCTCTTCTATATATATATATCTGTACCTATATCTATGCATATGTAAAAACTAAATCCAAACAAAGTGAAAATCCAAGTAAAGTGATAAAAGTAAAGTGATACGTGGCATGCAAAAATAGTGCATAAATGTCAATTAGGGGGTGGGAGGGGGCTGAATCACTTGAGGGAGGCATTATATAGATTGATGACCACAGGTAGGAATGAATTCCTGTGGTGCATCTGGGTAAGAGGAGTCTTCTGCTGAAGGAGCTCGTCTGCTGGACCAGTGTGTCATGGAGAGGATGTGAGTCATTGTCTAATATGGACTGAAACCTGGACAGCATCCTCCTCTCTGCCCAGGTGGTCAGGGCTCCCCCACAACATCACCGGCCCTCTTGATCAGTTTGTTCAGTCTGTTGTTGTCAGCGACCCTCAGCCCACTGCCCCAGCATGTGACAGCAAAGAAGAGCGTGCTAGCAACAACAGACTCATAAAACATCCTCAGCATCGTCCCACAGATGTTAAAGGACTTCAGCCTCCTCAAGAAGAATAGTCGGCTTTGGCCCTTTTTGTAGACCGCCTCAGTGTTTCTAGTCCAGTCTAACTTATTGTTAAAGTACACTCCCAGGTACTTATACTCCTCCACAGTGTCAACAGAAACCCCCTGGATGGTAACAGGGGTCACAGGTGTTTTTGTCCTCCTCAGATCCACTATGAGCTCCTTAGTCCTTGTCACGTTGAGCTGCAGGTGGTTCAGCTCACTCCAAGTGACAAAGTTACCCACCACAGTCCTGTATTCACTCTCCTCACCCTTTTCAATGCAGCCAACAATTTAGGTAATAAGGTTGCTGTCAGCCATTAAAACAATTTGATATGGCAGCCTGATTTGATTTATGCTTTTTCAGCTGTGAAAAAAAACATTTTTGGGAATTTTGTTGTGGCCAGTTAACAGGTTACATGTTTTTAAAGATTTTTAAATTAAAACCCCAAAATTCGACATTTCTCTTCAACCTTTATTAGTTGGACCAGTTTTCACTCAAATTAAATGTTTATTATGTCTGCCAGCTTTGCACATGTACAGAGAGTATTTACTTCCTGGTCTGTGATACAAAAAGCTCAAATTAAGGCAGATTTGAATTTGTATGTATGATATAGCAGCATGTTTTCAGTTTATTTTGTCTTGTGTATTTTATGTTATCTAATCTATGTCTGGACCCTTCGGACGCATAAACGTGCTTTTATTAAAACTATACCTCTGTAGCTCTGACTGTAAGGCGAGGCAGGTTTATTTCTATAGCACAATTCAAGGTAGAGGCAACTCAAAGTACTTTATACGAATAAAACAATGAATCTAAAATAAAATCAATATTACAGTTTTATTACCGTTACTTTATAATGTGTAATATTTTTCTGCTCAAAGTTCAAACTCCATCCTACTTTCAATTAGGAGCATCTAACAGATTTCCCTCGAGGATGAACCTGTATTTGACACCAAATGTAATCTAAAACTTATACCCTGACCTGTTTGCTCTGTTATTTTGTTTTATTATTTGTATTTATTCAGTTTCTTTTACAAACCTTTAAGGCCTTTATAGGCAATCTATATGACTTTTACTAGGGAGATGACTGTGATATCAGTTAACTGTAGTCAATTTTATTATAGCTATATTAAGTATAGGCTTTTTCTGATTTTTATTTGTAAAAAAAACAAAAAAAAAACATGCATTTTTGCATGTTTTTTGCACACACCTGACATAGTTGTCTTTAAACTGCATCAGTCACTGTAATTCATGGAAAATACTTTTTTTTCCCTAGAGCCCTTTGTGTGACATCAAACTTTGCCTCTGAGAATGAAGCTTCTACTCCGTTTGACGTTTTTTATAGCAGCATCATGTGTCCTTAGTTTTGCCTCAGCAGATCAAAGGAACATCTTCTCAGAGGACATCTTGAAACGTACGTTTTTAGAGCAGAATCTGTTATAATTCCTGCTTTTATCCAGGAAAATGAAAGACTAAACATATTTTAAGTATACTTTAAAATGTATTGATTGCTTGTGGTAACAAAAAACAACTAATTTTTGTCTCAGAGCTGTCAGAGGATGGTGAGAAGCTTGTGAACGAGGAGCTGGAAAGAGCTCTCTATGGTGTGAAGCAGATGAGAGAAGTAATGTGGAGGAACGAGCAGAAACACGAGCACCTCATGAACTCGCTAAAGCACAGCGGTGACAAGAAGAAGGCAAGAACTTCCAACCAAAGATCAATGAGAAGAAAATGACTCAAACGGGTGATAAAAAAAAATATGATCCAGGTTCTCAATTCTCCCACCAGGGGGCAGGCCAACTGGCAAAAGATGTGACTGAGAAGCTGGAGGAGGCAGAGGAGCAGTGCAAAGACTCCCTGCAGTCAGAGTGGGAGGAATGCAGACCCTGTCTGGAGGATGCATGTAAAACCTTCTACACCTCCACATGCCGGAGGGGCTTTGCTTCTTTCCGCACCAAGGTATGAAAACCTTCCTACACTGTTAAAAGGCCCAGGATGAAAGGCTGTGACCTACCATTTTGCTTTGGAACATGACTGCACAGGTAGAAATAATTTACTGAAACAAAAGAATAAGCCTACAGCATAAACATATATATGTCCTCTTTTCTAATGATCAATCACTGTTTACATCTCCAATTGTTCTGCTAAGCACATTATACTTTTTACCTCACAACTAGTTTCCTTCTAATGTACTTTGGACACCTGAAAAATGTAACTACATGATTTATCTTTGAAGATATAAGATTAACCTCAAGTTACCTTCTTAGTTAGTTCAGAGATAAAGAAAAAAAGATTATCAGCAGGTCTCAGGGAATCACAGGGTCTCTGGGTCATTTTCTTTTAAACGGATTCTGATTTGACCTCAAATGTTATTTCTTTCTGCCTTTGGTAATAAAAAAAAAAAAAAAAAAAAATTCCAGTTTTGTAAATAGTTAAAAACTAGCTGTATTTATAATAAAAGTGACGTGTGTCCATTAAATGTATGCGTGTCCTGGCAATATTGTCACAATTACAAATACCAATATATTTTACCAAAAGAAAAAATCTTCTTTGGTTGTTGGTACATATAGTATATTTTTTTTTTGGCTTATCTGGTAGCATTACATATCTAATGATCACCTCTCCCAGCCTATCAATTTAGGTAGACAGCCATTTTTTTAGGGTAGCAGTGTATCATATTTGACTGCTTTCAGATGATGGATTTATCAGTGCTCCTTTAAATGTCCATATTTTAGGATATTGTCTTATGATCTAACCCTGCTTTAAACTTCTCTATACCATGGTCTTCATTAGGCTATTTGTTCACTTTTACTAATTAGCTACACTAGCCTTTATTCATAAGAAACGCAGTACAGAGGGATGCTATAAATGCATGCCACACTTTTCAGATTTTTTATTTGTAAGGGGTTTCTGTCTGCTCTCCACAGTTATGCAATATTTTTGATGCTGTATTTTTTAAATCTCATACACTCCTGTGTGTGTGTTTTTTTTTTTGGTTGTAAAGTAACATAATGTCAACAAATGTCACTAGGGTCGGTATAAACATTTTTTATTAAATAAACATCAGCACCCTGAAAAAATATTCAATCAAGTCACATAGTCCCCTTTTCTCAGTAGACCGTTAAATAATCTTCCCATAACTTGCAAATTTCCCACTCACAGGCCAAAAAACTGCAAAGGTTGATGTAGTCAAATACTTAACTGCCATAATGTTCTTGCTGCAGGTGGAAAACTTTTTCCAAAGAGTCTCCAGACGCTTTGGTCCTAGAGAGAGACCCCTGGAAGCAGTGGACATCTTGATGAATCAGGGCCCTGATGAATCAGAGAAGGATGTTGTCCACATTGAGGATTCTTTCAAGCGAGTGTTGAGCCAGGTGGGGACACTGGTGAACCGCAGCATCACCTTGGTGTCCAGGATAAGCAGCAAGCTTGACGGGGCCCTTCAGAGGGCTTTTCTGAACAACACGGATGTAGAGTCAGAAGAAAGCCCCTCTGATCCCTACTACCCTGCTCGCGACTCAGGCTTTCTCCAGGGCGTTGGCCTGGAGGAGGTGCTGGAGTCCTTCTTTGACTTTGGAAAGAGTGTAGTGGAGGAGTTTGGTGCTGTGGTCACCCAGGTGTTTGATGACCTTCATAAAACTGAGAAAGAGGAAACAAAGAAAGGTAATTTGAGTCTTTTAAGGCTGATGAGGCCACGCGTACCATTAGAGCTGAGTTTCTTGTATGCACGTTACAAAGGTTTGTATTTGAACAGAACAGGAAAGCTTTCGTCACTACCTGCAGAACAGGAGGCTCTGCAAAGACCTTCGCAGGGAGACATCAGAATGCTGGCAGCTTCAGAGCAAGTGTGAGGCCTGCCAAGGAGCTTTGCTTACAGGTAAAGAAACTCCACATTCAAACTTGACCTTTTTTCCCCACCAGACACCTTTAAACACAACTGCTCATATTTCTTTTTCCCACACAGAGTGCCCCAGTGTTCGGGAGCTGCATGTGGAGCTGGATGAAGTATCTCAGCTGCTGGATGTCTCCAAAGAGCAATATGATGAGATTTTGTCCATTGTCCAGCATCATACCGATGAGACAGTCAAATGGCTTAGCAACATGGTCGCTGAATTCAGCTGGGTGGCTCAGGCTGTGAGCAACAGCAGTGCTACTCAAAACATCTTCCGCATCACAATGGTGAGCAGGCAAAGGGTTGATAAAGATACAAACATAACGTACCAGAGGAGCCAAAAATATATTTTTATAAGTCAACATGTTCAGGAAACCAGCTTATATGCAATGTCTAAATAGGAAAGAATATATTCCAGCATTTCATTTCAAATAGTGAAACTCCCTATGAAAATCAGAATATAGCAGATCAGTTCATTAAATTATTTTATAACAGAATGCTGGCCTAAAAAATCATAGAGAAAATGAAACAATCATCAAACCCCCCCCAGAAACTAGTTGGAGCCCAGAAGTTGAAGAAGCCGGCTCTTCACAAAGCGTAAAATCCAGACATACTAACGAAAAGTTAGGTTGAAGCAAAGAATTTGGTGAAAAATAGGTGCAGGAGCAGAATATATAACCAAAACATGTTCATCATTTAACAACTGCCTCCGTTTTACATGTTAAATGTTGTTCACAGGGATTGTCATTATATTAAGTGTTTATGGGAGGTTTCCTACAAAGGCAGATTGCCATAATTTTACATGGTACTGACCCAAATACTTATTTTGGGAAATTGTCTTAATTTGTGTGAAAGCAACCCTGACTATGGGTGACACTTCTGTAATAAAAGTCATCTTCTTGCTATTGGTCATATAACATTTTAATGCTTCATTAGCTGTCCAACTTAATGATTAAAATCAACACAAAAAATAAATATATTGGACTTTGCGCGTAATGGTATGGTTTCAGAGATGAAGTCAGATGGAAAGATTAGAAGTTTGCAATAGAAACATCTTCAAGTATGACAGCTGTAATTTTATCGATGAATAACAGGAAACAATTTTCATTTTATGAAAAGTATTTGATTATCTCTAGAATAATCAAAAGTGCATGAGAGAAAAGTCAATGTGACTTATTCTTTCCTGTAGGTGGCACCAGAGAGCCATGATGAGCAGAACATGTCTGCCACTGAAACTAAAGTGGAGGTAGAGGTCCTGAACTCTCCACCACTCATGCTTAACATCCCCAAGGAGCTGGAGCTGCAAGATCCAGCATTCATCCAGTATGTAGCCCAGGAGGCTCTGGACAAGTACAAGGAAATGGTCAGGTAAGGGTCACTTAAAGGCTCAACATTAGCCCACTTCTTTAACACAATAGAATGCATAGACATTTGACATTACAGCTCTGTTGCTTAAAATACATCCTCTTTCCCAACAGGATTGAAGATGAGTAAAACGACACCATTGGCACTTTGAGGACACAGCTAGGTGACATGTAGTAGACACCTTGATGCTGATATATGAACAAACTACAAACGTAACCAAGATTCATCACAGTGTTTCAAGCAATTATATTTACTTTATTTCCTTTAAAATATTTGCTATTCACTTTCAAAGCGAAATGTAAAACTGAACTCTTTCATTTAATGTAAAACACAAAAGCCACATGAAAGATTTGGCTTATCATTTGATTTTATTCTGTACAAAATCATATTAGTTAACATTCTCATCACCCTCATCATTTATGCCCCCAACTAGATCAGGCTCCACTTTTACAGGACAATCTCTCACACCAATGATGCACAGAAAAACAAAAATAAAAGAATAATTCACATCTTCGATATTGTCTAATTTCTCATTCTTGTAAAAGAATTCCAAAGTTAAGGAAGTACCAGTGAGAATTTAGCAGTTTGATTATTTATAAATGAGCTAAGCAATGGCTTAACCATCCTCTTATGTGCTTGTGTTTTACGTCTGTCATACATCTGCCTCTGCTAAGGTGAAAATAGAGGTAAATGTCATATCAAGTACAGCACCACACAAATTAGTGTGTAAAACATCTCAAAATTAATTCATCTCTTCTGTCAAGTACCATATTCTCATACAAGCTGCAATTATTAAGATTCTTAATATTGAATTATTAACCTGCCCTTCTGACTGTATAGTAGTAGAATAATAAATATGCATCAGTTTGAGTCATTACAAATGTTTAAATGTTTACTCTGACTGAAGACATTCATAAGGTAAGGCATTTCTTACCTTTTTCAACTGACAGGTTCTCATTTTGAAGAAGGGGAAATAAGAAAGTATGTGCTTTTCAAGTCATATCTCCAAAAGTAAACAGGAAGTTCTGTGTTTGAGTTAAAAAGCTCCTTGATATCTGGAATAATTGTAAAAGCTTTAATAAAAGGTAGTTTTCAAAATGTGATCCATTTTTATGTATATTCATGGTTTCCACAAATAGCAAGTTAAAGGGTAACTAATTGAAATACTGGAGAGAGAGAGAAAAAAATTTAAGCCAAATGTACCCTAAGGTTCTTTTTAACAGATCTGTTTTTTGTAGGTTGCTGATTCAATGGCATCCTGAACTATATATATATTTTTTTTTTTTTTTAACTATATTTTCAACTGAACCGCATAAAAAAAATTACAAAAATACTTGTGTTATCGGCAGAGTTGTGCAGCACACAAAACAAAACGATGACAAGTTAAACGGGAACCTACAAATGGACAGCCAAAGTGTTATTTTTAATTAAAAGAAAAAAGAAAATTGAAAATTAAAAATTCTATGCAAATCTTTAAAAAGTTGTGTCAGGATTCCCCAAATTGAAATGATTAAAATAAATGAAAAAAAAAAAAAAAAAATGGAAAAGCAATCGTAACACAGGTATCCTATTCTTTAACGTCCATCTGATCATCACACAGTCTAAAAATATTTCTTTATACAAACTGTATGTACATCAGCTTTGATCTCTCAGTACATTCTTGCATTCATACAGCAGACCTTATTTTTTAACCACATGCTTTACACTCATCACATACAAGTTAACCACAGTTATTGGTCATCCTTAATCTGCCATTCAACCTGGAACTCTTGATCATATGAAAGATCTGGATTCAGACTAAAAGATCTATGTGACTTAAAAATAAAAAGAGGGGATTTCTAAGAAGATAGAAGCAACTTATTTCAAAAGTTAATAAAGTTAAAAAAAAAAGTCTCTTGTCTGTCTGTATCACAGTGTTGTGGCCAGTAATATGGATTTATTCTGATAGTTTCCCAGAGCTTTATATACCCATTTGAACACTTGGTCCCATTGTACATTAGGGACAATCATTATGCCAGTGTCATTGTGGCCTAAAATCCTTTCATTTTAATTAAATGTTTTAAATTCTTTTATTGATTTCCACCAATGTACCTTAGAGTTTAAGTTAAATTGCCGGGACTAAAGGTTGTCTCCAGGCTGGTATTGTGGCTCTGTTGCTGTAAAGTAGTCTTCCAGGAAGGACTGGATGTATTCGAACGTCGGCCTTTCGTCTGGCTCCTTCTTCCAGCACTGCTTCATCATCTCATGGAGTGACTCCGGGCAGCCCTGAGGGCAGGGCATGCGGTAACCACGTTCCACCTGCTCCAGGACCTCTCGGTTCACCATGCCTTCAGAGAAAAAGCCAAAAACAGGAGATTATTATTTAAAATACTAAAAATAAGGCAACAGCTTTTCAATGACATGGTAAAACTGCAGAATGATCCAGTTCAGAAATCTATGGTTAGATCAAGAGACATTTATGGCTTCTAGTATTGTTCATGGAATACTTTATGCTGGTCTGGTACGAAGAATCTCAGTCAAACTATTTTGCATGTTATGTTTTTAAGAAACATGAAAATGTTGATGAATTATATATATGTTCATGAATACTTTTTTGAAAAACATTTTATTTTTAATAAACACTAAAAATGGCAAAGAGTAAAGATCTCTGGTATCGAAAAAAAAAAAAAAGCAAGAACGGAGCCCAAGCAGGAAAAAAAAGATTAGCTGTGGGGATGGAAACATTTGGCCAACACATGTTTTTTAAATCAGCATCAAATGGTCAGCCAGAGGGAAATATTCTTTAATAAAAAAAAAAAAAAAAAACATTTTTGATTCAAACTATAGCATGCATCTTAAAACCTACATCCTTCTGCCAATTGTAGAGATAACTGCCACAAAACAAAAACAAACGTCTTGAGGCAGAGCTTCAGAAAACCTGAAAATGTAAATAGAAACTGGGCTGTTGTTTGAGTGACCTAGAGTCCATTTTTAAAGCTGCATTTCAGCCAGAGCAATCACATTCATAGGACTGTCATAGATGCCCCAGAGTGGTCAACATGCTGTTTGTTCCTGCTGTTTCAAGCAGAATACCAATCAGTACTGCTGCATCCTCCAGTCCCAGACTCTGCTCTGTAACAGGAAGACGGCAAACCCTGTGACACGGCGCAGAAACCGCTCCGCTGGGAGCTCAAGTGCAGCTAAAAGAGGTTATGACGAAATCAGTGGCATGGTCGCGGTCTCACCCCCTCCCTCCCCCCCCCTGCTCTGTGGGAGACTGGGGATCAGATTATCTCACACTGGAAGAGAGAGCAGCAGGGCTCAGAGCAGCTGCAGATTCAGGGAGATGATAGCTTGGTGGTATGCCGGATGCTGCGGTGTTGGAAGTGATTTATGGCTTTCATCTTAAAACCTGAGCTCCTAATTAAATGCTTGGTATTCATTTGGTCCAGATGTAGTTTTTACAGAGCAAACTGGAGGAGGAATTAATATGTCTTTCGATGCATAATTCTGCTTTGAAACACTGGGGGGAAAAAAGGGCACAAAAAGTTCAACAATATTGCCCTCAAAAAGGCTAGAAGGCCAGCATTAAACTGAATGATTTACCCTAAATAAATCCTACAGAATCCAGATGGTCTGGTACTCTGACCGGTGGTTCGGTAAGCCATACGATGGGCTGCGATCAGAACTCTGATAAAGGTACAGTGGGAAGAGGAAGTGTGCTATGATGGGAGTAAGAGATCGCGTGGGCGGAGGGGACACCATCACTGACTCGCACAGGTTGAACCCATTTGTTTATAATCCACTGATGGGAGATAATAAAAGCTTAAAATTAAATCAGTTAGCAAGGGGGTAAATCCTGAAGCATGCATCCTTATAACATTTTCCATTTTTACAAGCCTATGACGTGTTAAACCACGTTAATAGTTGTATACTAGCATACATGTACGTCTTACCTGGATATGGAACTCTTCCCTTTGTTACCAGCTCTGTCAGTAGTATACCAAATGACCACACGTCTGATTTGATGGTGAAGCGACCGTACAACGCAGCCTCTGGGGCTGTCCACTTTATAGGGAATTTAGCACCTGGGCAAAAGAAAGACTGAATTAAAATGTGAGCGATAGGTGAAAAAAAAAAAAAAAAGAACCACACATAAGTAGCACAACTTGGAAAAAATTTTTAAATTACTTTCAGTGGCAGAATGATCATACAACATGCAGCTTTAAAGCTTCAAGAACTATGTTCACCTGTTGATTTCTGAGGACATTTTATCTTAACCAGACTAGTTCCAACTTTAACACACTTGCTGAACACAATAATATATTACATTTTTTATTTTGACACAATGAGAAAATGCTCCGATTATTCAGTTTTGTCCTTTAGTTAAAATTGTTCAAGATAAACGAGTTTAATTTTTTAAGCCTTTGGTTGAATAATCTTGAAATGTCCTATGAAGGTGTTAAAAATCTTTTTAATACGCCACAGACATGTAGAGGGGTCCAGGGCCACATTTTGTAAATTTTTTTTTTTTAAAGGCACCAATCTAGGGCACTGCATTAGAATAACAAAGTAAAGTTATAAGAAAGTATAAATGTAAAGTAGTTATAGATAATCAGGGATTAAAGTAGTTTCAAATTCTTCCAAGTCATATTTTTTCAAAGGAACATATATCATTTAAGAATGTTTTTCATAATACTTGCATTTCCTTCTAGTACATTCATTTTTTTTTATATTTAACAATAATTGCCCTGTCACCACTAATTAATACCTTCTATATTAGTAGATATACAGTTGTGCTTTACAATTATTATAAATGATAATGAAGCTAGACAGGGAATATTTTTTTTTTTTTTTTTAGCTAAATGTAACTCTTACATTTAGCCCTGCTGAAACACCTAGAGAACTCTGTATAAAGAAAGATTTCTGGAATGACCTCATATGGACTGATGAAACAAAGAACATTGCTGCGCAACTCCATGAAGATTCAGAACTTAATTTAGAAAATGTAAACTAAAAATGAAAAAGAATGAAAAATGACAGAGGAAAAAAAAATCATGAAAATAAAGGAAAAGGCTGGGATCTTATTTGACCAAATGGAGACAGATAGAGAGATTTTGAGAGTGAACTAGTCGAGGAAGGTTGATCCATGTGTCCTTTCATTTGGTCTTTATCTAAACATTAACTGTAGAAGAAATACATATCTTATTTGGATATAATATATCATGCATCCCTGGAATATACAATTTCAATTCCATCCATCCATCAATAAAAATATGGATGTACTGCATTTTAAATATAGAATAGGACATTTCTTTATTGTAAACTTTCTGGTAAACTTGGAGATATATTTTATTGCATGTTGCATATCCCACTAAATCTGTTTCACCATTAAATCTGCAGCTCTCCCTATTTTTCTTTGTGCCGTTCAAAAAGATTTACGAACCTCTTTACTAATATAATGACGCCGGAAACAAAAGTTAAGATATGTAGAAGCTCTGCAGTCTGATTCTAGCTGCACAATAATAAAACATTTGTTAATTTTAACCTGTAACTGGGAGTCATGGTCCTCTGAGAAGCCAAGCTTTTTTTAACTAGTAAAGAACAAACTATATTTTCTCAAGCTTCTTGTATTATATTACTAACTTGTATAAACTTACAATCTGTTGCCATTTTTAGCTGAACACCTTTTTACCTTTGGCTAAAATAAATGAGTGGAAAAAGGGGGAAAAAAGCTAAAATTATTGGTGGGGGCTGTCCCTACCAGGCCAAAGTTGGTGGGAATATATCAACACCAATTTTAGAAAGTTAAGCCTAGGCTAATGAGCATTTTTGACAGGACGCAACTTATGGAAAGCTGCGCTTTTAACCCATTATTTTAAATGGCTTGTATGCCCAGTAGAGTTCACCCGAGTTAAGTGTGTGCCACACATGTATAGAGCCAGCATATTAAGAAACTGGAATGAACACTAGTCTGCACATGTATTTGCAACTGTGTGAATAAAATGAAATAAAAGGTTTATCACTACACGTGACAGTTTTCTTACCAGTACTTTAAATCAAATGTTCTCAGATCACTAGCAGAGTTGCACTCTCCAGTGAAACAATCGTGATAAAAGTAAGTCTTGGATAACTGCAACACCTGCCCACCCATTTTTTTTTATTTCTATTTTAACTGGATCAGTATGATTCAGGTAGGAGACCAATGTGGGATACAAAACATCAAATTTTCCTAAAAGATAAGGGATTTTCATGTCCGCCTTAGCATCCAGTAAATCAGTGGCCATGTGTCTGAGTGCACAAGCTCCGTACATGTACCTTGACGAGCCGTGTACTCGTTGTCCTCAATGAGTCGAGCCAAGCCAAAGTCGGCAATCTTACAGACCAGGTTATCTGCTACTAAGATGTTGGCAGCTCTTAAGTCCCTGTGGATGTAGTTCATCCTCTCAATGAAAGCCATCCCATCTGCAATCTTTCATGTGGAGCACAGAGAAATGGGGTCAATAATCAAAAAGTAGGGTTAGTATTAAATATAGAGGTACTTTTGCATTAAGAGCTAAAACAGTAATTATTCAAGAGAAATATGTGATGCTATGGCAATTATACAATTACAGAGAAATCATAAAACAAAACCATATTTCTTCCCGATAGTCTTCGCTGGCTTTATTCTGTGTCAACATCATTTCTCACACACATTTCCATTTTTTAGTGTGGAAAACAAAACTAAGATCAGATCATAGCATGAGATTGAAGTGATGAACTCTAGTCATCTGTGGTGAGAAGTGTTTTGGGAGCAGATAAAAATTGGAGGAACGATATTAAATAAATAAGCCACTCAGGCTTAGAAGCCAAAAAAATAAAATCCTTAGAATTTAGTGCCTGCATGTCTGACAACCCAGCAGCTTATTGTCCTTGTTGAGGGAAAGCCAACCCACAGCAGGATGCTGCCATCACCATGTTTCACTATATGAATGTTTTCTTTTGTTCTGGTTGATGTACAATGGTAGTACTTTGTGGCATAATAACCTCTAGTATTTACAGCTTAGCAGGCAAATTGTATTTAAGATATATATTTTTGTAGCGTACCTGTGAAGCCATGTCCACCAGCTGTGGAAGCTTCAGATGTTTTCCTTCTCCTTCTTTCAGGAAGTCCAGCAAACTACCTGTTGGAAGTTATTGAAAAAAAAAAATTTGATTCAAGGAAAAGCAATACATCTATGTGTAAAAAATTAATACAAAGGCAATACAGAGATATACAGCTGTGGTGTGCATGAAAAAGATCACAGGCACAAAGGATCGAGCAAACAGACCCACTCTGAAGAAAAAAAAAGGATGTTTGCACAGAAAATGGGGACCTTTTTCACCCTTTACTGGTGCAAGTTTCACACTTTTTACCTTGTTAACAAACTGAAAACACAAAATCCATGGTAATTGCAAATGCAATTAATTGACCGGCACTACAACAGTTATGACATGTTCTGTTGCTTAAACAGAGCAAGAGGCATCTGCCAGAGGAAGTGTCACTTTAAACCAAGGACAATCTGCCACAGTGACTGAGATTTATGGTGTAATGAATGGTTGGCAAGATAAATACTGAAGATGAAGCAATCACCAGCTTGTCAAAGCACATAGTCAGAAATACATAATATTAAGCCTATTTGCACACCTAAATTATTCACTTAAGGCTAAATTGTCATTTCGCATTTATGATGTTTAAATATGGGTCAATGTGGGCGTAGATTACGCTAAGCAATGTCCAACTGATGAGGAAAGTAGAGACAAAATGTTTGGGAAAAAATTGCATCATTTCATCTGGAAATTTAACATCCCATAAGATCAACACCGTCTATATCAATGCTCAGATGCTTCAAATTAAACAAAAAAATGTGCTTATTTCAACAGTAGAACAAACAGCTTTTTGGTTGCTGTCCACCATCACTGAATGCTACTGCTTTAGGCTGATCTTTTTTTTTTTAATAAGATTAGACTCCATCTTTACAAATTCAGCTTATGAGTTAAAAGGTCCTTTTGGTATATGAGTTCATGACTATAGAAAAAAAATAAAAGAACTATAGATTTATATTACAACACACCTTAACATTATTATCTGCTTGATGGCATCTGGGGAGTTTTTCCTTCACTTAACATAATCCAACTAAAAGCAGCTTAACAGCTTTGTGTATTGCTGTACAGCAGTGATCTGCATCTAACCATCCATTTTTTTTCCAATGTCTCAAACATCACAGGGACATTTTTCTTTAAGATTTGTTTCCCCCCAAAATCATTCACAAGAGAAAAATGTAATATTCACAAAACAATATGCCAAATGAGTCTTTGACAATTTAAACACAATTGAGGACATTTGAAGGGCTTTTTAAAGACATTGCTGACTACGAAATAAATGCTGCAGACGACACCCATCTTCTTTCTCAAACCTATCAATTCTGGTATCATTTGAAACTAAAGAAGCGTACCTTTCCACAGTATAAAGCACATCTTTGTAACAACTGTTTCAAGGAAGCAATTTGCATGCAAATTGGATTTTATATGATTTAGTATTATACACCAATACCTGCAAGTTGATGAATTAAACAGATGTTTCAGTTGTGTTCATCTTTAAAAATCAATTAGAACAGCCCAAAAACCTTTTTAGCTTTATATTACATGTCCGCTACTTCATTAGTGTTGTAAAATCAACCACCTTAAAGTTCAAAAAGGCAGCATGTTTATATGGAAAGGATGATTCAAGGTCTTTTTTGACTATGACTAAGTTTTATTTCTTTGAAAGGTTTTTTTCACAGATTATCTTTTTTTTTTTTACTTCAAAATACAATGCATCAAGTTAGATATAAAAAGAATTCAGTTTTTTTGTTTTTGTTTTTTTATTCCCTTAATTCTATGCCTTTCCCAACTGTCATTCTTTTAATACACAAGTTAAACTCCATGACTATTTCACCCTTAAATACAGAAAGAAACGTATAATGGCCATTTGCACTATTATGGGATCAGGTTCCTTGTAACGGGGGTAAGAAAATGCACCGGTTTGGGAACTTTTGGCTAAATTTCACCAAAATGAGAACTCTTTGATACACTGCTAACTACAACTTCATTATTTAAGACTTACTTTACTACATTTTTAGTGAAGATGTTTCTATATATAAAATAAAATGGCAATTTAATGTGTTCACAAGGTTTTAATGGCATTTTGGCTTTTTTTTCTGAAAAGAAATTTAGATTGGACTAAGTTTATTTACAGATAAATCAGACATAGCTGCAGCCTTGCTTATACATGAAAAGCACCCTTTGATGTCTTAACACCTGGTCAAAAAGGTTTCATTTAGACATTATATCCATTAAGCTCCTTCTAATGTTTTTGTGTGTGTTTTTAGGTGGTAATCATTACGAAAGCTTACTGGGGTTTAACCGGTTTTAAAAGCAACAAGTCTCATTTGGACACACCCCCTAAAGGTGTGGGCTTGCATGAATGTGTTAAAAGAAAATGAAAATAAATTAAACAAAGTTTTAGTTATGGTACGCTGGAGTATAATTTCATTAAGCTGTACAAAATCGTTTTGTTTTTTTTGTCAGGCAAAATTTCTTTAAATCAATTATTTTCAATGACTAAATGCCAAATTAATGAAAGTTACATTTTATTTTCAAAGGGAGAAAACCATAACCATCTTACTATAATTAGCTGTAATTCTGGCCTAATCTGCTTACAGAGCAACAGTCCAGTCTATACCCTACTGATCAAACAGGAGGCTCTAAAGCCTCCTGGATGAGTCATCATACATTTGGAAGACCCTGTGTCTGAGCTTCTAACATCCAGCCTGATGTTTTATAATGTTGCTTCAATACTGACATCTTTCATGTTCTTTCCTCATGATAGTAGGGATTTTGTACAGAACATCGGTCCCCCCTTCAGCAAAACACCCCAACAATGCATTATTTAAACCAAAGGGTATCAAAAAGGAAATCTTTTCATCCTCCAAGTACTCAGCATACAAACATATCGCACACTATGAGTCTAATAAAAAAAACAATACAAGCATGGTTGAAAGCTTCGTTTAGCTAAACAAAACCTTATTAGGTGATTTTCCCTTGATAAGTTAGTGTACATAAACCTACTAACATACTAATTAAAGAAAAAGCTAAAACTACTTTAGAAAATCATTGTTTTATATTCAATTTTCAACTAGAAGAATTAATGTTGGCAATCCTGAATGATATAAAACAATATAAGCTTATTGTGAATTACATAAAGCAAGTAGTAATTGCCTACATATCTTTGTAATGATCTGTTTTCAATTAGAGGCACTAACGTTTAAAATAAGGAAAAATTTGTTATTTAAAAATATAGTTCAGTATTATCACATGGAACCCTTTAACATCATAAGCCTATATTCAGTAGGATAGGAATGTAAGTAGCACAGGCTCTTAAAATACAAAACTGCATGTCTTCTGCTTTAAGACTTGGAACTATGCTTACCTTTACCCATGAACTCTGTTACGATATAAATAGGCTCTTCAGACACCACTGCATAAAGCGGCACCAGTTTATCATGTCTGAGCTTCTTCATGATCTGAGCCTCCTCCAGGAACGCATCTGGAGACATGGTTCCTGGCTTCAGCGTCTTGATGGCCACTTTAGTGGTACCATTCCATGTGCCTGGGTAAAAGAACAAAAAAAAAATGTTTGATAATGCTCTAAAATTAGATACTTAAAATGAGCAAAGTATTAATACAAGTGAAGACAAGAGTCAATCCTGACTGGTTTTTGATAATGCACATATATGAGAAATTTCTTATGGCTACAAAAATCTTCTTAGGAGCAAAAAAGTAAAACAACAAAAAGTAAAAGAGTAGCCACTTCCCGGTTTGGACCCACTTACTCACGCCCTGCTTACATACAATGGGCCCACACTGGCCTTTATAGATGACTCATATTGACCAAACTCAAGGATGAAGGACTAAGTAGGGTAAAGTACAATCGGCATGCCCATGTGAAATCAGGGTGACAGCACAAATGCCCCAGAAGTTGTGGGTAAGGGGGATTGTCAGTGAACAGTGTCAGCAGAGCGGGAAATATCCTGAGCAAACAGAGCAGGGAGAGGCAGAATGAAATTCCTGGGATTACCCAGCAGAGGCTTGCATGTCGCAGCTTGCAGAGGGCCAGCCTCTATTAGAGACAGAGCAACGGAAAAATGAGTCGTGTTCGCTAGGAGGGGCCGGTGTCAGAAGTAGGCGCGAGGAATGAAGCGTGTGACGTGATCTGTGATTACAGGACTCTTTGGTTGTCAAAGAACTAACAGCGATTCAGAGTCAGGCTTTAGCAGTTTGTGGGGCATTGAAGCAGCATGATGAGGGCTGTTTGGAGATCAGCTTCATCACTGACTCGCACCAATTAGTTTACACACATCAAGAGCATTTCACATTAAAATTGCATCTACTCTAAATAATGTAAAGAGGACACTTTATCCCAATGTGTAAGCGTCCTAATGGCTGTGTAACTGCATGCCAACAAAACTATTTGCCTTCTTTACTTATTCATAAGCCAAGTGTTGAGCATCAGTACTTCTAAGTAGATTTATCCTGGTGTTTTGCTGACAAGGGCAGTACAACATAAATAGAAAAGTGGTTGGTGGAAACAAATTAATCCCTTTGTGTCCATCACCGCAAGTAAAAAGGAAACTTTGCTCTTAAGAACTGAAGGAGGCTTTATAATAATACATTGGTTTATACTCGCTGCATTGAACAGAGCACGAGGGTACGCGGGCCAAAAGTGACGCAATTATGCTGCCCCCCCCCCATCACAGACGGAGCGGACAGCCTCGGTGCTAGGTCGCATACCTCGGAATTTTTGTGACTTGGCGCGGACCACGCATGCTAGCCTCGTTTCAAATGGGAGGATATAAAGCCGTTTTCCATTAACAATTTTGCCGGTACTGACATCTAATGGTGCAGAAGTTTAAAGTAGAAAAGTCTGGTTAAATGCAGTGCTGTTACTGTTTATTCAATGACTGAAAACAGCATAAAGAGGCGAGCTTGTGGAATAAATAAAGTCTAAAACAACTATAGTATATAATATATATTCAGCTTTTATTTAGTAAAACAACATTTTTTTTTTAAAATCAAAAGGTCAGCATTGGCTTAAAAGGCAGGCTGGTTTCCCCATCATCACATCTCTTCGAGTGCAGCAGGTAAAATTACTGTCTTATTCCACCATATATTTCTGTGTAGCTGCCATAAACATACCCACTATTCTTAATTAATCATAAATTCTTAAATAAACAATCCTGCGCTTGCTCAGTTTGGAAGCGAGATGTCAACTGTTTCTTCCTGCATTACTGCTTGTTACGTTGATCACTGCCTCTCTGTGGATTTTGCGAGTGCTTCACCAACATCCACCTCAACTGCAATAGGGTACAGCACTTCTATAGGCTCACGAACAGACCTGCGCGACAACCCCACGCGCAAGTTTCTCTCTGCCTTCAGGCTATTAAAGAAATCCGTTACAAAATTCTACCCTTCTGTGGATCACTCAAGGACTGAAAGAGCAAAAGTATGAGGCATGCAACAGAAAGAGCTCAACACAGAACGATAACATGTATTATCTAAAATCCTTTTGTTTGTCATGAAACATGCTAGATTTAAATGTCAGGAAACTACTGATGTTACCCTTTATTAATTTCGTTGCTGGTTGTGATAACCTCACAGTAGGCATAATTATAACCACAAAGGAGAATGAATCCATTGGTCAGACAGGACTTGATTTTAGGTCAACTGGTGGAGTGTGTTCAGAGTTACCCGGGATGACGTTCAATAAGATGAAAATAAACAAAACTCTAAAGAAGTCAACAAAAAGCAAACTAATCATCGCACTTCCTCAGCAACTTTACAGTTTTGTGTATGTAAAAAGCTAATGATCATTGTTTAGAGTTCTATAATAGAATCTGTTCTTACATTTACTTTTATCACTTTGTTTCGGTAAACTATCAGCAAGAAACAAAAATAAGATGATACTAACTGTTAGTGCTGAATCAATTGAGCTAACAAAAATCAACAAAGGCCAAACTCTTCTAATCCCCCATTTTAATGTTAATTTCCTACCATCTGAACAGAGATTTAAGCTGTCTACGGCAAAGACCTCAGTAGGGTTGTCAAAAGTATCGATACTCAAAAAAGTATTGATTCTGAAATATAATACTCATTTTCAAAAGTATCGATACAGTGCTACTAGGGCTGCAACAACGAATCGATAAAATCGATAATTTCATCATCTATTAGTTGTGTCGCACGATTAATGCGTCATCCGCCGCCATCGTCAACCCCGCCGCCAACCCCGTTCTGCCTCTCCCGCAGGAGTCCCTCTCAGCGCTGCAGTCAGAGCCGCAGGATGTTTACCCTCAGCATCCAGACTGCAAATGAAGCGCTCATGCGCCGGGATTGACGGCGCAAATTGATCACAGTAATTAAAATAGCCTGCGCTTTGTAAAGTGAAAAAAGTCGTAACATGCAACTTTTGTAAAAACAAATGAACATGGCACGGAAGCACCACTGTTATGATGCAGCACCTGAAAAGAAAACACGTTGGAGCCGTCGATGGCAGTGAAGAGAGCTGATCAGCAGGATGAGCGACCATGTTTGTTTGGTTTTAAAGTGGGGAAATGTAACGTTAGTTTCTCAGGTAGCTCGTCTGATGCTTTCCTTACCGTGTTAGTAGGTTACAGACAGTGAGAAGGTTGGCTACTTATTTTACTTTTAATTTCATTTGAATTAACTTAAGCAGCGTTTATATTTACTTTATAAATAAATTAACTTGCAAATTATGAGGGCAAGGCTTTTAAAGTTTAAATCTTCTGGCAAAGATAAAGTAAAGAAGATTCTGCAATTTATGGAAGTAAAGCAGAATAAAATCCAGCAAGATCAGTAATATGTCAATTAATTATATGCCACATTCCCAGGTAAATATCTGTCTTTGGAGGATGTGTTTTTTAGCACCCCTAGTTCTCTCATTTTTATTCCAAATACAATTTATAATTTGAATCACAGGGCTATTTTTATCTCTATGGTTGAGTATTTTCTCAAGTAGCAACTTTAACTGCTATACTTTCCTGTCTTAAAAGACAGAACTCTTCTAGTCTAAAAAAAAAACCTAATTTGTTCAAATGTGGCGGGCTATTGTTTGAGCCCCTTAGGGGCTTTTAAAAACAAAAATGCCTGTCTTTTTTTGTGCTTTATCAAACAAAGTACCCTATATTTTGTGGATGTACAGCTACATTTCTCATGTAAGTTTGCGTAGTTTTAAAACAAACATTTATTTTTCATATTGCACCAGGACAGTTAATGAGCAACCTGTACTTGTGTGCTTGTTTGTTCTGTCTAAAATGTTTATTTTGGAATAAAGAGGTTAATATAAAAAATATTTTTTGTCCGATTCATCGATTAATCGAAAAAATAATCGGCCGATTCATCGATTTTTAAAATAATCGTTAGTTGCAGCCCTAAGTGCTTCCACCAGTGGCACCTAAGCAGTCATTTATCTAAAGTGCAGAATAGAGGAAAATGCACTTTCTTAACACTGTGTGATTGAATAATTCTGTGCACTTTTCAGTTTCAGACTTTTTTTTGTAACAGGTGCAGCTGCTGAGAATTATTTTTGTTTCTTAACCGGTTTGGCTAGTGTCATTGTTATGTGTGCAAAGCATAGCAAAGGAAGGAACACTTAATTTTAATTTTGTAAGTTTTTTATCAAGTTTGCTTAATACTGTGCACATCATACAACCTCAAAATATTGTTCTTATTGTTTATTGTATTTATTTATTGTATTTTAATTATTAATCAAAATATTTCTGTTGAAATTTGGAGTTTTTATTCTTGTGGTATCCAAAATGGTATTGAGTATCGAATATTTTCCTTAGTATCGGTATCGAGTTGAAAAGTTTAGTTTCGTGACAACCCTAGACCTCAGATGGAAAAATTCTATGATACACACTCATTTCAAAAGTGAAAGTGTCATTCCTGGTTTTCTGACTAAACACTGACAGTTACAGAGGAATCTTTTCACAATTAATTAAGGAGTATAACAGCTGTCAGTGAAAGAAAAGATGACAATCAATTCTATTAGGCTTAAGATTTAACCTGACAGCTGCAATATTTCTGGATCTGTACACTCAACTGAAACGGATAGAAGGACTGGAAAGCACTGTGAAAAAGCAGCCTCATAAGAGTGAACTGGGAGGAGGATTGATTCACAAGGTGACATTTTCTGCTATTGCTGATGAACTAAGGTATAAACACTTAATTGGGCAAAGTAAAACAGTTATTGACATAGTTCTTGCTCTACCCGCCTTCAGATGCTAGGAGAATGCATTAGACACTTGCTCTACAGTAAGTACCAAGCAGATTTAGAGTAAGCTGTGGCGCATCACAGTTTACCTAATTAACCTCTGACATCCAGCCTTGAGCTTGACTGCAGTCCAATATGTGCCTTACCCATCCAGACTTCCCCGAAGCAGCCTTGTCCCAGTTTGACTTCCAGTCGGAGGGAATCTCGAGGGATTTCCCAGGCGTCTTTAGCAAGTCCCTGAGTTTGCGGCTTCACTGTTGGGCACACAACGGTCAGCCTGTAGCACAGACCGTCCGCATGTTCTGAAAGAAAGCAGCTTTAAGTTATGACAAACCAATCATGAGGTGATTATGAAATTCCAGCCTATATCGAAATTAGATAAAACTGCATTTAAGTTTCATGCTAAATTTTCCTGGTGAATCTGGGTAAAATGTAGAAAACCAAAGTGTTGTATTCAGTATCTAAGTTGGGAGGAATTAAATCCTGTATATAAACCTTTTTCTTAATGCAGTTTAAAGAAAGCATTTGGGGAGATATAAAGGAGTACAGAGCTCGGAATCCACATTTGGTCTTTGAAATCAAATCTGTTTCATGTAATAATTAGGTTTGCTGCTTTGTGAAACAGCACAGCCAAAAACTGTAAGGTTCAACATTCCCTCCCTAAACAGTTTTATATATATATATATATATATATATATATATATATATATATATATATATATATATATATATATACATACACATGTTTCCAGAATTGTTCTGATTTATTTTTGGTGATGAGCACCATTCTGCTCCTTTCAAAGATCCTCAAGTCGAGCTCTGACTAGGAAATTCCAAAACTATTATCATTACCTTTGACCTAAAGCTGTCTGTGTTTAATTGTAGAACACAAGTGGAAAAAATGCAGGCACTATCTTTTTGTGGCTTAAATAAATACATAGTTTAATATTAATCACCTAAAAAGGAATAATCTATTGCTTTTTGAAGTTCCACTAAGGTATTCACAGGCATTGATTAGATTTAGGTTTACAGTTAATTACTCAAAAGAGGAGCCCGATATGAAATTAACAGCATTGTACTCCAGTTCAGGGTTAAAAATTAAAGTCCATCATATTGACTTTTACTACTGCGCCTCATCACTGGTAAATAGGGTCTCCTAGTTTGTATGCTCCTGTTTACTAAACAGGAAACTGTGTTATATAGAATGCAATGTTATCAACCTCGATCATGTTACCTTTCCCTTTAGGAGACCTTTCCCATGGTAACTCTTTCAACAAACATTTTTTTGTTTGTATTTCCTCTGAACACTTCAAAGATTCCAGCAAAATATTTTATCTCCATATTTACAAGATCTTATCTTTGAGCGTTCAAAAAAAGTTTTTCCCTGCAGGAGGGATTCTGAATAAACTGAATCAATGGTAAGTTAAGGGCAAAGCTTGCCTCGTCAAGATCATTGCTCCCAAATTTGTCCTTATTAAAAATTACAAAACAGAAGTTCTCAAAATTTCTTATTCAGGAAACCCCTCCTATTGCCTAATTACAATTGTGTCACAATAACAGAACCAATAAACATAAGATATAACATTCAGTAAATAAAACTACTTTATTTCATTACTAACAAATATTAGTGTAATTTATGCCCGAGGATGATGCTTCCCTAGGATGCTTACCTGTGTAGTGCTTCACCAGTTTCTGTAGTGTCTCAAACTGTGCTCTTGTAGTGATATAATAACCACCACTATCCAACTTGCGAATCTTGTAGTGTTTGACGTTGTCACCCTTAACCTCATCCCAGTCACGTAAAGATAGTGAGAAGGCACCTTAAAAACCAAAATACATGACATTAGGGTGACAGACTCTGAAGGGATAAAATAATAGTGAGATTTATCGACTTAATGATCTGGAAATACCGGAACTCAAAAAGCCAGTCTTTTTCTGATGAGTGTGCAAAGAAACAAGCAAAGGCAAGAGGTAAGACGCAATTAAAAAGTAAATTGTACACCATAAAGTAGCAAGTTAAGTGTTGAGTTCATTCAGGCTTTAAGAGAGGGAAAGAAATTCAGAAGACAAGTGGAGCACAGCAAAAATCACTTTTTTTTTATTTGACCGTTTAACCAGATATGGAACATGCTGAATTTGGATTTCACCCACCCCCCAAACAGAGACACATATCAAGTTTATTATTGATGACATTATTGATTCATTAATTTCATTAATCTTAGGAAATACTAAGAGTGCTGAATGCATATTCTTGGCTTTTACACCAGATTTATTTTGCTTAAATATAAAAAAATAAGTGAAAATGACTGAAAGCAGAACTGTCCCCAGTTTCCTAATTCCATTTTAATGGGATCTCATTCTTTTTATCTATGAGCTGGAAATGTCCCCTGATTTGATTTCAGAAATCTGGTCACCTTTATGTAAACATACACTGCTCAAAAAAATTAAAGGGAACACTAAAATAACACATCCTAGATCTGAATGAATATTCAGATCTAGGATATTCTCATTTAATAATTTGTTCTCTACAAAGTTGAATGTTCTGACAACAAAATCACATAAAAACCATCAATGGAAATCACATTTTTTAAGTAATAGAGGCCTGGATTTAGAGACACAAACAAAATTTAAGTGGAAAAACACACTGAAGGCTGATCCAACTATGTCCTTAGAACAGGTCAAAATGAGGTTCTCCCTACAATGGTCCTGATGAGGTTGCAGATGGGTAGAGGGTTCTGCTTCAGGACCTGGACTAAATGATTGAGACATCAAATCTGTTGTACCCGCACCATAAAGGTATAAAGGACGATCTTTTATTCCCGGGTGGATAGTCAAAATAAGTGGTCCTCCTAATTGTCAATCATTCTGGTGATATGTTTACGTAAGGCCGTCCTACATGCTCGTCCTGTAAGCTATGTTTTGCTGAGCATGCGCACTTTCAGGCGTATACCTGTGGTGAGCTACAGTTTCAGACAGTCATTGAAGCTCACCATTCTCATTGCGGTTCTTTGAAAATGGACGAGGGTCGTAAGAGTGAATTTATCAAGTGTCTACGAAGTGTATGAGAAGAGAAGAAAGGCCTCAGAAGAGGCAGATATATCCCGGAATGCTTTGCATGGAGAGCTCTACTCGCAAAGCATTATGGGATTTGCTGTCACAGAGGCCCCCTGTTGCCATAGACTATCGCTACACGACAGCGGCGACTAATAACAAAGATACCTCAGGCACCTCGTAGTGAAGGAGGAGATATGTGATCAATGGAGAAAAAAGTAGTGATCATATGTCTGAACAGTCAGTTAACTAAGTTCGCTATAAAGTCCACTTTAAAATCCCCGCTCTATATAGTGAAAAATGAATGAAAATCCTCCACAATACCTTTAACTTGGAAATTTAAGTTCTGAGTTGAAAAGTATTTGGATAATTATCCAACCTCAACCTGATTTTATTTATGATGCTGGAACTTGTTAGTATATGTTAATGGACCAACTTTATGAGGAAACACAAGCAGTCAGCTACAAGATGCTAATAATTGATAAGATGTCAAAGATATCAACAATGCTATCATTTTATCCTTGTTTTTAACTCATATTTTTAGAGCAACCGTACTCTCACAAAAACCATGTGAAAAACCATGTGATGTAATGGCAAAAAGGTTCCCCACATGTTGTCAGCTTAACAACAGCAGCCTTTTTTGTACAGTGGTTTTTGACTAAATGTAGTTACAGTTTGGCATACTGCTTGCCTTCCATTACTAGCCTGCCTTTAGTGGTGCCGCCTCAAATGAGCAACCTTTATAACTACACCGTCTAGGCAAAGCCATTGTTTAAAAAGGCTAAAAAAGGGACTTCAGAAACAAAAAACTATTTAAAGCAGCATATGATAAAATAACTATGACTCCAACCTGGAAAGTATCCACACCCTTTCCCAGGCCTTCCATACATGACAGTGATTCAACAAATAAATAATCAATATCTTTTCAGTTTCTGTCAACTTGGTGGTATTGTAATTATGATCTCCAGGAACAACACAGTTGTAGAAGTGCTTACAAGGGTATAATTTTCCTACTGTTCCACTAGTAGACAGTATATGATATAAATCGCAACATTCACATGCACACAGACGCTCCAACCTTTAAAGGGCACCTCTAAATAAACATGGTATAATGGTAGGGATTCAAATATTTACATGGACAGACAACAAGGTTCAACTGTTGCCTCAGATTACCCTGAATTATTAAACAAACACTTTGTTTCCTATAATGGTCTGCATCAGTGATGCTCTTTGAGTGTATCTTAATTTCTAAGGATTGCAGTCATACTGTTCATGTGCGTCCTCAAACAGAATGATTCAGTGTTTCCTGTACTGTGATGGGAGAGTGGGATGTTTCTAAATCCTGGAACAGGTTTTGAAATTGTGCTGCTGTTGTAAAAAAGGAATGCAACAAAACTTCTCTGTTTAAACAAAAAACATGTATCCAGGTCTAAAAAAAAAAAAAAAAAAAAGAAATGTTTACATTTACTTAAAGACCAGCTATAAAGGTCCCTCTTTGTGTCGTCTTATTTTAAATGCACTTCCTTACCTTTTGTTGTTTCACTCTCTCGTACCAAGAAAGTGCCTCTCTGATTCCCTGGGAGTAATAAGAGACGCTCAGTGTCTTTTCGGCTCAGTTTACCAAAGTACCACCTGTGGAAGGAGAAAAGAAAAGTCAGATACTTGAAATAACTAAATATAAAGTATAATATGTCATTCCTAAGAAATGCTGAATTCATTTCTGATGCAAAGTCTTAATGCTGGCCACTTGCCTACTTCTAACCTGGCAGTAGCGAGAAGGATATGTGTAGAACTGAGTTAAGTTATATATTAGCAATCTGGGATGCTGCCGTTCAGTCTTGCCGTGAAAAGCAGAGACTTTTAGTGCAATACTTCAAGCCGATTGGGTAGCTGATTGTTGCAGTGAATCGTGACATTTCATAAGTTGATAAAACAAACTTTTTCCAAATCGTGTTGGAAGAAAAGCACAGAAATCTTTCTGATCTATAAATGCACCAAGCGCTTCTCTTTGCTCCTTTTTTTAACGAGAAATTGTCGCTGTTCTAGCGAAAACCGAGTTGTTTGCTGTATCCAGCGTAGCTATGTTTGTAATGCCCAAGCAAGGTCCTTGTGAGTGTTGACATTCCTACATGTCCCGCTACAAAAACACTGCCGGCATGTCATTGGCCAGACCTGCTGGTGGTTTGGACATGGACGTATTAGCAGGACTCTTCAAGATGGATTTGTTGCGAGACTGAAAACTCAGATCTTGCGACAATCCAGCTTGCATGGCAAGGTTAATGTACTGTATGCATGTTTAAGAATCTGAATGTTTTTGGTGCTTCTCACATGCTGGTAGGAAGTAAATATTAAGTTTTCTCCTGAATAATTGTCTATGTGCAGCAGGCAATGTTGCCTATAACCTCATCTAATAAATATTTGAATATAAAACAAAAATGTTTGTTTGTATAAATAAGGAAAAAGCTCCCAGCTCCAAACAATCTTACCTCTTTGAAAAAAGGCTTGGTCTATGTCAAAACACTTCAATGCATTTGGAGCTGTTTCACTAGGCGATACGGCATCCTGTCAATAACAGGTGCTCACATTTTTTTTTAAGAGACATAGTAAGAAGTTAATTGGCTGCCTTTTCCCCAGTGTTTTAAACATCCATCAATTATAACACTGTCAAGAGTGCTTAAGAGAAGTCAGATCAAAAATGTCTTCGTCACAGCCGAGGATCTGAACCATAAGAATGCATCATATGCTCAGTGAAAGCAGGCAATATGTTGTTTTTCTCATTCCCTCTCTGCCAGACAGTTCTATTTTCACCTTAATCAGCAGGAAGGAGGTAAGATCGTAAACAGAAGACTAACGAGCAAAAGAAAAAGGAATCCAGAGGACAGTCAAAGTTTTATGAAAAACCTTAAAAAAGTACAAATTTTGCTCCTCACTCTTCAGCTTGTATGGAGTCAGCTGGGGCCACATAATTGCTGGGGATGTAACCATTCTCTCCTGTGTTGATGGAGCGGGCTTCCCACCAGTCGCCTTCCCTGAGGACACAAAGAAATTGCTAATAAGAAGCACATTACACACAAACAAAAGCATGAAAACAAAACAGGTAGAAATCCACCCACTCTTACATTAAGACTACACAGTCAATAACATAACAAAAGGCAAGGTCAGTTCACACGTCAGTCGGCTGCTTCATCATCAGAAGTCATTGTGTTTGGGCTTGGCCTTGAGTTTCAGTCTCGATTGATAGTTCACATTGGAAACCTCTGCAAACAGCTTAGATTTAAAACAACTTCACAGACGCAAGGCATGCGTCTTTCATGCCAACGTTTCCATTATTGCTTCCTCAATACCAGCCCTACTCTTCTCCGATTGTACCGACTCCTCAGCAGCACCAGCAGAATCTAGTACTAGAAATGTTTGAAATAATGTTGGGATAGAGTAGAGCCAGGACAATAGGAGTTGTTGGAATTAGGGCATTGGAGGTATTAACACAAAAATGTTCTAAATTTCCAAACTACCCAACCATTTTTTTATATAAAAAGTGATTTAAATTTTTTTATTCTCCAAATCAATCTGTAGTTTTTACATTTTACAAGTCTTGCCTGATAATGCGAAAGCATCGTGTTTCTACTCAATATTACCCAACTGCAAGAATCAGGACAATTGGTCACTTTGCATAGTGAGTGAAAAAACATTATAAGGACACAATAAAGAGAAGAAAATAAATATTTAAACCTCAACAAAAAATGTCAATGTTTCTGACAAACAATGAATAAAAATGTTAGGTTATAGGGCAGGGGTCGGCAAACAAAACTGTTAGAATAGCCATATTGGCCAAAAAAACAAAAACAAATCCGTCTGGAGCCGTAAAAATGTAAAAGTCTTATATAAGCCTCGTATGGCAACACAGGCTCTAAGCGTATTAGCCCACTATAAAAAAGGACTACATTGGCTTAAATATATAATAAGCATTCATGATTTAATTTTTATCCTGGCGCAAATGTCACATCATGCGACTACTCTGCTGTACAATATTTGCAGAGAGGAGCAGTGAATGCTCTCACTGCATGGAGTTCATCACTCGCCGCTTCACTGCATGGTTTGAATGTATTAGATTTGTTGAATTGATGATTTTATAGAAACATGATAAAAGAAATCGGATTTTTTTGGTGTTATTTTTATTTAGGGGATTTGGGGGAAAAAATGGAAAAAAGTTCTCATACCTGCATCAGAGAGAGCTACCAGTTTGATCTGTGAACATTTTTCCATGCTTGCAACAAAACTAGCAGCAATAGTGGAGTTTGGAGAAGCAATCCACTTGTTAAATCCATCTTTGAGCTCCTGTTATTTATTCAGAAGCAATGAAACATTTTTTTCTAACTCCCAACTTGGTGGTCAGCTGCAAATTTAACATGCCTTCTCTGGAAATGCCTTTCCAAATTACTCTTTATTAGCAAACGTGCAGGCAATCCTTCCGGATTGGTAATGAAAGCAAACAATTCTTATTTGAATCTTCTGTTCTCATTAGCTATTTTCCCCTTTTTCCCTTCGGGATCGATGGCCCAAGACACACCCGCCAGGTTTGTTTACAACAGCCACCTGGCTGACACAGCACCGTGCTAAAACGTGTGCTGCAGGCTACCATGCAAATCTTCGTTGATAGAAATTTTTACATTTATTGTTTAGATTTATTTGAAAGTTTTATAGCATTTGAAAACAATGAATGTTTGTTTGACCTCCTGTCTACAATATTAAAACCAACAAAAATCCTTCTATTTCCATTTAATTTTTGAAAAAGCTCCAGGGAGCCGCAAGAGGGGTGCTAAAGAGCCGAATGCAGCTCTTGAGCTGTGGGTTGCCGACGCCTGTTATAGAGTTATGATGAAAAGAAACACTTGGCTGGAAAGAAAAACAATGAACTTTTTTAAAATAAAGATTGATTAAAAAAAAAAAAACTCTGCAAATCAAGAAGCATCAAACTCTAAATGATTTGAACCCACTTTAGTCTTTCAAAGGAAGATCTGAGGGCTTAAAATTAAGTCAAGACGAGCAGAGATGTAGAGACGGTACGCCTGGTGGCATTTTGAAATAAGAAAATGAAAAAAGGGTTTAATCTGCCCTCTTCCCACCTCTTCCCTAAAAGCAGATGGCATTGTCATTGCTATAAAAGCCATGTGAGCCAGACAGCGGCAGGAAAGAATGAGCCATGTGATGAATTAAGAGCAAGGTTTGTGTTGCAAACTTGGAGCTCAGCCCATTTTCTCAGCTGTGCACACGTGGGAAAAAGATTAGAGTGGAACAGCTGATATGGAGACAGCAAAAATTGTTTTTCTTTGAAATAAATTACAATAATCCACTCAGTGTGGCATTTTAAAAGCTGATTGGGTTTATAAGCATTACATTTATTCTACATTAAATTAAAAAAGGCAAACAGATGTGGTAAATATTTTGAAAACAATGTTTAACTGAATAAATTAGCATTGTTTAACCCAGGAATTAGATTTTACACTCTAGACAGTTGTGTTATTCAATAAGACAGCTATTCAACTTTATATTGTTTTTTCTGTTTAACCAATAACACAAATATTATTCATGAATCCAGAAAGGGAAAAATATAAGTGTGAAAACGAGAGCAACTGGACAGATGGTCCATTAATGGAGGCCATCAACCAGGATACATCCCAACACTGATATCAGACCTGTATCCAAAAAGACCTTTACCAAAACATACAGACCGCTCATACGAAACCACAGAGACACACAACCATGCAGCCACAATTTTTGCCAGATCCATGTACTCACGTGTTGTTGATAATCTGAAAGCGATCTCCTTTTCGGAATGAGAGATCATCTGATGTTCTTGCTTCATAATCATACAGGGCAACAAAAAAAGTCACGCCACCTACAGATGACAAAAAAAAAATCAGGTTTAAGTACAGGGAAATAAAATATAAATACATTTTTTTAACCTTTATCTTTCAATTCAAGAGTTTATTACGTTTAAACAAAACTGTCTCAAGAGATTCCTATATATTTTCTGTTTTTTGCAGTTTCCCTCTTCCAGTGCCTCAAAGTCTGCTCTTAAATCACAACAGCCTCTGACTCATTTTTTTTTTTATTCTTCTGGGATTCAGATTGTTCCCATGGCATCTCTCAAAATGCACAACCCCCAGAAGTGCATATAAATAGTGCACACAAATATTAAATATTAAAGATCTTGTTGGGTACAAACATGCTCTGCTAATATTACTAGTTCACAACTTCAGAGTTACTAAAATTAATTCAAGCATTAATTAACTCTGAATGTTTTGCAAACTTAAAGCTATTGATGGGTTTCCCCATCAAAAAGGGCTATTTTTTCTGCCTACACTACAAGAGTAAACAGGAGGTGTTCAAACTATAATACTCTGGAACCCGCTCTTAAATTGTAACATTGTTAGAGAGAACAAGTGCAAACAAACAGTAGAAATGCAATCAAGCCTCATTTTCATTGAAAACTGACACGTAAACAGGCTCCGAGTTAAGCTATTGGTCAACAATCCCCAGGTCAATGTTGACCGACTCTACCTCTGACAAAACCAAGATCGATCATTGGTAATTTAAATGGCTGAAGCACCTCGTCAGCATGTCAGAAAGTACTGGAGGAGCCTGCTCATGAACCAATCCTTTATTTCAGATGTTCTGGACGGTCCATCCATCCATCCATCCATCCATCCATCTATCTATCTATCTATATATAAACTTATTCGTAAATACTGGATTAAACCCTTTCCCTTTTTAGGGGAAAAAAAAGACAAAGCCTGGTTGCAGGTACACAAGTGGGAAAAAATAAAAATCTAATTTATCCTTAAAATATTGCAATCGCTCTACTAATAAACTGCACTTCTTTCTAAACCTTATCAAAGAAGCAAAACAACTATTGCTACAAATTTGTGAAAACATTAAGCGTTTAGTGAATCCTGTTAGCGTTAGACATGCAGTGGAGCTGAGTGTCATCGTTACCTGATCAGACTACCAATCTCCAAAGATATTGAATCAACATTACATGCAAGAACACGTTCTATGTCATAACATTTTCCATCAGACACTACAATGATCCTTAAGTCACAAGAAGTCATTTTCATTTCTGATACAATACTAACTTTTAATGTGCATAAAGGAAGTCAATGAATTCTGTGCATGGAATTGCTTTTTGCTCAGTTCAGGAGAGGCCATGCCTGGCGCATTACTTCCCATATCTCAACGCTACTTTGTGTTTCTGTTCTTTGTGCTTTTAGTAACTCATTTCAAATGTCTAATTTGCATAGTACCTGCTTGTTTTAACATCCTCTGTATAACAAATGTTTAGCAGTTGTTTAAGATGAAATAAGAACTGAAGGAAAAGGTAATCAAAAAAAAAAAAAAAAAAAAAAGGGTCTTCAACAACTGGTGGTTTCTGTCATGTAGGGACCAGTGAAAAATTTGGAGGGACAACATATGCTTCCTTAGAAATCTCAAATTCTACACACATACCTGTGATCACGGCCGGGAACGGGTTGTTCACAGTCACCGAGGTGAACGACGTGGAGGCTCCACCAAAGGGAGTCATGGATGAAGAAACTCCACCAAAAGGGGTGAGGGAAGCTGGATGGTTGTTGTAGCTGCTGTTCTGTGTTTTCATGGCTGGTGAGTGACCCATCATTGTGGGTTCTGGCCCATAGTGACCCAGGTGAGGATTGACTGGCACCACATTGGAGTTATCAGGTTGGTATTTCAGCGCCGGGCCTTTGGCCTCTTTACTCCTGACGCAACCCATCGTCAAGCCTGCAGGGAAGAAACGGTGAGAACTTCAGCACAAAACCAAATTAATTTTGATCCAAATACACTTGCAATCATTCTGAGTGGTACTTAACTACCAAAATACATTAATCAAAAGTTGACTTAGAACTAATGCACTTACAATTAATGTTTTTATAAAAGCAAAAATGTTTTTCTCCGTTTAGAACACATTTCAAAACATTTCAGAGCTGTCCAAATTCCTGACTTGAATCTGGCAGAGCCAAAGATAAGGGAGATGGAACACCATAAACCATGTATATGTCAAATAAAACAGAGTAATAAGCAGTGTTAAACGCTGCACAATAATCCATTGCTAGATGAGACTTTCTGCTGCTAGCAGCACTGTTAAACGCGGGTTAAGTGAACAGTATATGGGTATTAATGTAAAGACATTATGGACTGCTGATATGTACAAACAGAATAGCGTAAAGTGTATTCTGCATCTTTGTCACTATTAAAGAGTGAAAATAATGCCAGACCGGACTCTGAAGTGATTCATGTTATGCTCAAGCATGCACCCACTGTGGCATCATTTCTACTGCAAATACCAGCAAGGCGGTGACATTAAAAACATGAAAAAGTCTTTCTAAAGCTGCTTTCCTCCTGAAGTCAGCGGGTTAATGCAGGTTTTTTCAAATGCAGCGTTTTTTTTTTTTTTTTTAGCTAGATAAATCTACATTCAGGAGAGGCAAGCGATGAATTCTCAAATGAAATGATAAACACTACAGCTAACTCAGCTCAGCTAATCCTATCTATTGCTAGAAAACTGCTTGTATACACAATAAGATCATCATAAAGTTACCGTATGTAACAGGTGAAAATCTTAGTTAAAAAAAAAAAAAAAAAAAGCTGACTTATGACACCACACCGTAAATCCGGGCATGCACTGTACGATTTTTTTTTGCCCTTTTCAGGCTGTTTCTTCAGTCGTGCAACAATATTTCAATCAGGCTGACTTTCAGCCTGATCGTGCGTCATGTAGTATACAGGGGGTAATGAGGGGCGATCAGCCTTTCACGACCACCTCCCGATCAGGAATCGTGAGGTGGTGAGAAAAATCAAACATCTGAAATTCAGTTTCCAGTCATTAATATCGCATCAGAGCATCGGGGAGCACAATGTGAGAACATACATCGTGAGCTGTGAACTTTTAAACCTTGCGGTTTTGTCGTACAGTTTGAGCTGTAACTGCGTGCAAAAATTTTAAAATATCACACAGTGTATGCCCAGCTTAACCAATCAGTGATCGACAGTCTTTTGGCTTTGCATTTTGAGTTTCTGATACGCAATAACGGACCATTCTGGCTTAATTTCACACCTTCTCTGCATATCTAGAGCTAAACATGGAGAAGCAACTTTTAGTTCTTGTGTTCCACTAATCTAAATTTTAGAGTGGCCTTTGACTGTGCTATTCTAAATATTATTAGATAAATTTACAGTCCAACCTTCTTTACATTATCAACGATTTTATCATAATCTTATTACTTAATTATTCATTTTTATTATATCTAATTACTGCCTTTATGCCACTGCAGTGTATTTTTCATCTTATTATTATTTATTTATTTTATTCATGCAGCAATATGAATTGTCTTGCAACTGAAATGAACAGCTTGACAAAGCCATGATGGCAATTATTTTAGATCCAGGTAGTATGCAGTTCTTCATATATACACACACGCATCAATTTCACAAAGATGGTATCGGCCAATACTGCTCAGCCAGGTATCGGGGCCATATATATATATATATATATATATATATATATATATATATATATATATATATATATATATATATATATATATATATATATATATAGAGCGAATACAATTCTCCCATTCTCCCTCAGAAAAAAATCTGTGCATGTCTATAAATCCTGTATTATGAGAAAGATTTCGACAGATTTCTTTGTAGCATAAAAAGAACAGAAAAATTAAGTAACCTTGGATTAAGAAGTAAGATCATTTCCATGTTTGCACAGTAACAGTAAGTCATGTAGGACATGTACAGAACATTAATCCACTGATGACAAGACTGCATAAACTATGCAACACCCATCGAAAAAAAGTCAATGCTAACCCAAATGGAGCCCATTTTCACAGTAGCCTGCAGAATATAGGAAATATAAGAACAAGCGTAGGAGTTGGTGGATGTATCAACCAACCACAGCACAACTCATTTTCTTTCACCTTCAGCCTCTTCCTTAAATTATTTCAGTATGGTTTGCTTGTGTCAGACAGCTACAGATAAACTTAGAGGGATGTACTTTCAGTGACTCATATCCTGCCAGCAGATATACTTTATGACAGTTTTGAGTACTTGAGTGACAACTCCCATAGGTACATAACAGCATTTAAAGTGCAGCACAAGTCAGTTTACAATAAAAATACCTCTTTTGCTGAAACTATCAACAGCATAAAAAAATGACTAAAAAAAGTCACGCAATGCATTAATATGAAATCTAGAAAGTATAAACAAATGTTAAAACTAAATATTCCGAGTCATAATTTTTAAAGAAGCTATCCTTTTTTTTTTTGTAAATAATGGGTAAGGGATAGGGATGCACCAAAAAAGAAAATTTTTCGCCAAACATGAAAACTTGGGAAACTAAGGTAAAAATTTGAAACACCTAAAGAAGTTATTATGTGAAATATTAAAATCATAAAATGTTTAGCAACAATGTGTCCTAATCCTATTTAAAAAATTTTTTTTTTTCAAAACTCAGCTATTTCAGTAAATGATAAATTGTTCAATAACAAAAGTACCTAAATATTGATTTACCACTGACATTTTTATGTTAAGCCCTTTACCTAAGTAGAATCACTGGGAAACGTTCTGCCATTTTCAAACACTTTTGCACCATACAAAGTCGGTATGTTCGGAGTCAGTTTCCATTTCAGTGTCATAGTCTTCTTATATTCAGAATGGTGATGGGGACATTTGGATTTCTGCGCAACTAACCTGAGCACTAATAGCGACCAATGTGCAACGTGTGCACCCCCTCACTCAAAACATTTCTGCTGTGCGTTCAACTCTGGAAAAACTGCTCCCCAATGTGTGCTCTCTTGCTTCAGTTATTTACTTTGAACATTCGACAACTTTCGGCCATATTGTTTCGGTGATAAACAAAAAATTCACTTTTGTCATTTTTTAAATAACTTTCTTCATTTTCAGCCAAAATTTACAGCGCCTAAATTTTCAGTGCATCCCTGGTAAAGAATGCTTTAATTCCAAAAGTAATAAACCCATCCCCTTTTGTGACTTTTTAATTGATTACAAACTGTTCTACTCTAAATGGGAACAAAAAACTTCTACATTTCAATACCAGAATTTCAGGCGTCCACCTACAATAAGGAAACGTTTGAATCTAGTAAAACGCAACAGTAAAAATGTCAACCCTTACAACTAGCTTACATCTGTACTTTAATTGCAGTGTGATATAAAAATCCGTTTGACTTGAAGTCTATGGGAGGTCTCTGACCACAAAGGTGATAGTTGACTGTTTTTTGGAACTACTGAAAAATATCAATGCAATATAATCTTTTGTTTTGTTGTTAATCTTTGCACTATCAAGTCTCAAATGATCTAAAAGTGCCAAATTCCCAAACTATTTTGTTAAAAAAAGAAAAAAAATTACTGACATTTAAAGGGGGGAACATCTTAAATGATTGAATGCTTTTCATGTTTAAACAGGTTTAAAGCTGTAGAAAAAAAGAGAGCATTAATTTAGTTTCCGTTATATTTTGCAAGCATGATTTATGTCACAAAACTGGTTTAGAGAGTCGAGAATGCTTTGAAAGAGGAGGGATGGACAAGAGTAAAAGATTCCAAATGTTTATAATCTATATATGTAAAAACAGCGTAAATATTTACTACAAAAGTAGTACCAATAAGATGGAGAAATGTACAAAACTGTCCATGTTGATCATGGGTATTGAAGAAAAAAAAAGCATGTTAGAATAAAAACTATAAAGAAACTAAATTTCCAATGCTCTTAGACATTTTCAACTTTTTGCAGCCATCTATATGTGAAATGTGTTTAAGCCTGTATTCAGCAACTTATCTGTTGCCCTTCCTACAAAAAAAACAAAAACATAAAATAGAAATTCTTTGTACACAATTCAAACTTTTTCCGCAAACAGTTCCATGAAAAGGAGACAGAGACATCATTTATTCTTGCAGAAAGATCCCATTCCTACATAAAACAGCTGCGTTATGGTTGTGTTTTAGGGGGGAAAAAAAAGACTAGCTCACCACAGCTTCAGTAAATATTTTTGAATAAAAAGTATCATTTACAGTGCTTGTCTTTTAATTACAAAATGTAGTCTTTTAAACTCATGATTAATTAAAGGGATCTTTGATCAAAGAGACCAAATTTGAGGCTTCTCAGTGCAAATTTAACTTTTGCACTGAATTATAAAACTTTGATAAAGTTGAAATCTGACATACCACAAGATACTTTTGGTTTTCCTGACAATTTTTGTTAGTTCATTATGTCTTTGCTATGTCAATGCCAAAATATGGATGCAAAGGTTGTGGAAAACACAAACAAATAAAGAAAAACCCCTGCTCCTATATTAATTTCGGATTTAGAATAAAGGGCATTACAAAAGAAGACATAAACAACCAAACATCAACTAAACATCTCTGGTGTGGGCTTTTGTTGACTCCCTTATTTGGGTAGGAATACACCTATATAGGCTACATATGTTGCACCACCCTAAGATCAATCTTCTTTTTCTTAATAAACAACTAAGGCAAAGCAACAGCAACCTAACAACTATACTGGAGGGAATCCTAATGGGCTCCAAGAATCAATCCATGGATCTATTTGTTGGAGATGGAGTATTGGCAATTTTCTACCAAATAAACAGTATTGACAAAAAGGAAATGCTGACGAAATAGAAACAGAAAGAGACAGAAGATCAAGATTAATTACAACTAATGACCCAGAGAAATTAACTCAAGCAGGAAGCAAACTT